TTAAGACAAATTTATCTTTCTTATGAAAACATATCTCACTTTCCTTGAATACGAACATATTTTCCTTAACTTTTAGTAGCTTTAATCACATATATTAGAAATTTTAACCCTTAGACCATAATTTCTAAGTAAAAACAGTAGCATAGATCCTGCCCTGAATCACTCCCCTCCCTTCACCAGTTGGAGAGCATTCCCTCCCCCTAGATCCAGCTCAGTGCTAGTCCCACCAGGAAGCCTTCTAAGATCCCTGCATTAATGCCAAACCAGGCACTCTGTGCCTTGTTCTGTGCCCCTCAGCTCTGACTTTCTGGTTGGAGGAACAGTCTTTTGCACTTGTTCTGCATTGTGAGTTTTTATCCATTTCATCTGAAAAAGAGCAAGGGCCTCAGACTCTATCATCTTTTTATCCTCCACACAAAATGAGAGTGATGGATCATGTGCTGAGTATCTACTGTGTTCCTAATCCTCACGTACAACCCTGTCAAGAGTCTTATCTCTATTTATAGATGAGGAAACCAGACTCAAAGAAGGGAAGTGACTTGCCTAGGACCCAAACACCTAAGGTTCTCTCTAGTCCTCTGCTCTCTGGGCCTCCTTGGGTGGCATTTAGTTCAATGATTATCAACAGCCTTAGGTCAGAGAGAAATTTGCATGATTTGGTAAGTTTCAGAACAATAGACCATCAGCTCTGAACTGAGGTGTGTGGAGAGTGGCTCCTAGGGAAGGATGAGAAAGGCAAAGGTCTACGAAAGGGCACACTCTGACTCCAGTTAGGGGCTCCGAGCACTTCTGCCAAGAGGAGACTCAGATGCAATCCCAGAAAAGCTTTTGCCTACCATCTCCTTTGCACAGGGCCAGACTTTGGCTCCCAGGGAAGCCTGTGAATGTAGTGAGCTCCTTTGCCGGGAGCAGGCATTGCTGAGTCAGTATGGCTGGGCACTTTCTACTGTAAGCAGGCAAATGTACGACCCCCAAAGACATGTCCCAGGGTGAGAGATCACACCCTCTCCTGATCTCCAGACTAAAACTCCCAAGGGCTCAGGACCTGTCATCACAACTCAGCAGCAATGTCCAAGGGACTTCCTTCTGGGTTTATATTTTGTGGGTTTAATGTACATGAAAGTGCTTTGAAATGTGGAAAGAGCTATACAAATACTGATAAATAAAGTTGAGGCTTGAATCTATACAACTCCTAGAAGAAAACATAGGAGGAAATCTTCATAACGTTGCTTTTGGCAATGATTTCATGGATATGAAACCAAAAGCACAAGCAAAATAGAGAAGTGAGACTACATCAAACTAAAAGTCTTCTACACACCAAAGGACACAATCAACAGAGTGAAACCAACCTATGGAATGGGAGAAAATACTTTTATATCTGATAATGTGTTAATATCACAAATATTTAAGGAACTCTTACTACTCAATAACAAAAAAATAAAAAACCTGACTTAAAAATGGGCAAAGGACTTGAAAAGACATTTCTCCAAAGAAGACATACAAATGGCCAAAAGGTCCATGAAAAGGTGTTCAACATCAATAATCATCAGGGAAACACAAATCAAAACTACAATGAGATATCACCTCACACCTATTTGGATGACTATTATATATTAAAAACAAAAAAACACCAAAAACAGAAAATAACAAGTGTTGGTGAGGATGTAAAGAAATTTGAACCCTGTGCAGTGTTGGTGGGAATGTAAAATGGTGTAACTGTTATGGAAAATTGTATGTATATTTCTCAAAAAACTAAAAACAGAACTACCATATGATCCAGCAGTCCTCTTCAGGGCATTTATCCAAAAGAACTGAAAGCAGGATCACAAAGAGATATTTGCACTCCCATGCTCACTATAGCTTTATTCACAATAGCCAAGAGGTGGAAACAACCTAAATGTCCATCAATGGATGAATAGATAAAGAAAATGTAGCATACACACACAATGGACTATTATCCAGTCATAAAAAGAAGGAAATTCTGTCATAGTCCACTACATGGATGAACTTTGAGGACATTATGCTAAGTGAAATAAGCCAGTCATAGAATGACAAACTGTATGATTCTACTTACATGAGGTATTTAGAGTAGTGAATGTCATAGAAACTCAGAGTAGAATGGTGGTTTCCAGGGCCTGGGGGGAGTTACCAGGGGGAAAAGGAGAGTTACTGTTCAATGAGGATAGAGTTTCAGTAATGAAAAAAGTTCTAGATGAAAAAATTCTAGACATCTGGTGTACAACATTGTGCATAGAGTTAACAATACTGTACCGTACACTTACAAATTTCCTAAGCATAGATCTCATGTGTTTTTTTACCAGAATAAAAAAAAAAAAGGAAGTTGAGGCTAAGTGATTTACTCAAAATTCAAAAGCTAGTCAATGGTTTCTGGATATGGGATTTTTCCCATTATTATAGTGTCACTCATGAACTTTGTGGTTAATATAGTCTTTACTCATTCAAGAAATATTTATTGCATGTTCACTGTTTGCTAAACATTGTTTTAGGTGCTTGGAGATACAATGATTAACAAAACAGACATAAATGCCGATCCTTGTTGAGTTCTAATTCTAGTGCTGGGGAGGAAAAAAAAAATAAGATAAATGGGTTTATAGTGTATTAGAAGGTGATAGACTAGCCCCACATCTCAGCTAGCCAAGCAACCCCACTGCACTTCCCGGCCAAGGTTTCAACAGACCTCACCAAAATGCCATCTCAAATGGAACACATCATGGAAACCATGACGTTCCTGTTTCGAAAATTTGCTGGAGATGAAGGCTACTTAACAAAGCACTCCTGAGAGTAGGAGATTTCCAGGTTTTTGGAAAATCAAAAAGACCCTCTGGTTGTGGAAGAAATAATGAAGGACTTGAACTAGTGCTGAGATGGCAAAGTGGGCTTCCAGATTTTCGCTAATTGCTGGGCTCACTATTGCGTGCAATAACTATTTTGTAGTACACATGAAGCAGAAGGGAAAGAGGTAGGCAGCATGGAGCAATTACTCCCACCATGATGAGAGTCCTTCCAAAGGGTTACTTAAGGAACCTGCCCCATAGCTTCCCCTGCATAAGGAGTTCAGGAGCAGATTGGGACTCTTAGAATATGTACAAATAAAATCCAACTCCCATTTGACAAGCAGAGAAAGAAAAGTCAATTAAAGCCAGATAAATTTTTTATTTTTATGTTGCTTGCATCCTCTTGCCTAATAAACAAATTCTTCTTTTAGTTCCTAAAAAGAAGGAGGAGGGGGAGGAGCAGGAGGGGAAGAAGAAGAAGAAGAGATGCTAAGGAGGAAAATAAAGCAGGGAGTGTGATAGGGAGTACAGGGGAGGGCGTCCATTTAAATAGGGTGGTCAGGGAAGACTCTCAGAAAAGATGAGATTTGAGCCACAAGCTGAAGGAGGCCAAGGAGCAAGCCACGTGTATATGATGGGGGAGAGTGCTCTGGGTGGAGGGCAGAGCAGATGCAAGAGCCCTGGGGCAGGAGTGTGCCTAGTGCAGGGCAAGGCATCCCTGTAGCTGGAGCAGAGTGAGGGGATGAGAGGAGGAGAATAGTGAGAGGTGAGGTTAGAGGGGCAACGGGGAGGGGTGCAGGGTTTTCATGGGTCCACTCTGGCTGCTATGTTGAGAACAGACAGTGAAGGGGCAAAGGTGGAAGCAGGGAGACCAGTCAAGCCATTACAACATACAGGTGAGAAAATATGAGAGGTGGTGGGGAGGAGGTTAGAAATCACTGGATACTGAAGGGAAAGCCAACAGAATATCCTGATGCATTGACTGGGGAGGGGCACAACAGAAAAAGGAGAGTCAAAGGTGACTCACAGATTTTGAGCCTGGAGAACTGGAAGGATGAAATGAAAGGATGGGCAAGACTGTGGGTCAGGTGAGTTCAGTTCTTGTAAATCAATCATTGGTCAACTTCTTGATTAATTTTCTTTATAAAATTAATTTTAATTAAACAACCAATACACATTCCCCTTGTACAAATGAAAGCATTTTGACCCCACCCTGGTCTTCTTTCAAACTTTACAGAATTAACTACTATTATTAGTTTCATATGAATGTTTCCAGATCCTTTGCTAGACGTTTACATACCTACTGATATTCCCTTGGAAAATATGGTTTTGTTTTGTGAGTTTTAGGAGGGAAAATTTGCATAAATGTATCACTCTGCAACTTGCTGTTTTCATGGAATAATAAGAGTTGGAGATGAGTTCATATTTGTACATAGATCAACCTCATTTGTTTTCACTGCTGCATAGTATTCCATATATCAGACAACTCTAAAGGAATGGTGAATTCATTTGAAAGTGAAGAAACCTTTTGCAAGGTGTACCAGTCAGTGTTCTCCAGAGAAGTAGAATATATATCTCCAGAGAGATATATATAGATATAGATATATAGCTAGCTCTCTGTCTATATATATTTATTCATATGTAATATATAAATTTTAGTTATAAATATATTTATATATTTTTCTTTCTGTATATATGTGTGTGTGTATATATATACATAGAGAGAGAGAGAGAGACAGAGAGAGACAGAGAGAGAAAGAAAGAGAGACAGAGAGAAGCTGCCCCAGCTACTGCAGAAGGTGGAAGCAGGATTGCAGAGGGCAAGGAGTTGTTTTGTAGGAGGTGTGGCAACAGAGATGAGTTTCCCCCATGCTGTCCTCCACTTGATGTGTGCGAAGGCAGTATTCCTGATTAACCTAGGAGACTTGACTTGTTCCAGCAGTGAAAGGGAACGATTGCACAGACTCATAAATCTACGGATTCCTACCGTGAACCTCCTGATGCCATTATTGGTGGTTTACTGCCCTGTGCAAATGGGGTGGAAGGCAGAGGGGTGGGAGAGAGGCAGGTTCTCGTTCTCATGTGAGCTCGTCCTCGAGGGATATCATCACAGTGGCCTGAGAGAAGGTGGCTCACTTTCAGTCTTTGGTACTAATTAACTGTAAACAGACAGACCAAGGTTCCCAGCAGGTGCCTGACACCAGCATGCGGCCTGGGGACTGTAAGAGTTGGAAGGACCTCAGAGTCCTTCTAACCCAAGGTCTTTATGTCCCAGATGGGGAAGCTGAGAGGCAGAGAAATGACACAACTCGATAATCAGAGTTCAGTAGTGAGGTCGTATGTTTGCTTCCAAAAACAGAATTGTATAAGCACAGGATTGGGAATTCCTAGTTTAGCAGCAGTTTATATTTAAAAGTTTTGGGGGTTAGTTGATAAAATCCTGGTGAGAGTCAGCACTAAGATATGGTTGTTATGACAGATGAACATGGTATGTTTAAAGACATTCACGATATTTATAAAATAAAATTAATATGTGTTCATAGTAAGGAATTTGAAAAATATTAAAAAGTATAATGACAAAGTCAGAAATCACCCATAAAATCCAACTCCTCTACTACCTAAAGCCAATAATTGTAAATATTATGTGTGTATGTATATATCAAAAATATTAGGGTTGGCCAGTGGCATAGCAGTTAAGTTTGTGCATTCTACTGTGGCAGCCCAGGGTTCACCTGTTCGGATCCTGAGCGCAGACCTACTCACTGTTCGTCAAGCCATGCTGAGGCAGCATCCCACATGGAAGAGCTAGAAGGACCTACCACTAGGATATACAACTATGTACTGGGGCTTTGAGGAGAAAAAAGAAAAAGAGGAAGATTGCCAACAGATGTTAGCTCAGGGCCAATCTTTGTCAAAAAATGTATATATATATTACATAAAGCAATCATATTGCATCTACAGTTCTGTATCACACTTCTTAAAATTAAACTTCTTGAGATAATTGTAGAATTCACATGCAGTTGTAAAAAATAACATAGAGAAATCCCATGTACCCTTTACTAAATTTTCCCTGATGGTAACATCTTGCAAAACTGTAGTTCAATATCACAACCAGGATATTGACATTTACAATCCACCAACATTATTCAGATTTCCCTGTTTTACACATATGTGTGTGTGTGTTCAGTTCACTACAATTTTATCGCACATGTAGGTTCATGCACCCACATCCACAGTCAAGATGCAGAACAGTGCCATCACCACAAGGAGCCCCTTTATAATCACACCCCCCTCCTCTCATATGCCTCGCCCATCCCTGACCCCTGGCAACCACTAATCTGTTCTCCAAATTCTCTAAATTTTGTGCATTAAAAACTGTTGTAAAAATGGAATCATACCTTTTGGTATGTATGTAACCTTATGAGATTGGCTTTTTTTTGACTTAGCATAATTTCTTTGAGATCCATCCAGGTCGTGTGTGCCTCACTAATTCATTTCTCTTTATTGCTGCATAGTGTTCCATGGTGAGGATGCACCACAGTTTGTTTAACCAGAAGAGGTGAGGTAGACTGGCCATGCCCTGGGTCACAGTATTGCCCGTTGCCCTTGTTTATTTTAGCTTCTACCAAAAAGAGTTGGACATTTGAGTGGTTCACAGATTTTTGACTATTAGGAATAAAGCTGCTATGAACATTTATGCACAAGTTTTTATGTGAAAATAAGTTTTCATTTCTCTGGGATAAATGCCCAAGAGTAAAATTACTGAGTTGTATTGCAATTGCATGTTTAATTTATAAGAAACTGAGAGAATTTTTTCTGCAGTGTGAAACATACATTTTAACATGCAGTGTGACTATTGCTCTAAGTAATTAAATAGTCTTTGGAAAAAACATGATTTTTAATGACTACATAGTATTGCACAGGATGGATGTAGTATGATTTATTGAAGCTTTCCCTGATGCTGGACATTTTGCTTGTTTCATATTTCTTTTTCGACATAGAAATCATTAATACACTCCTGCATGTGGAGCTGGTGTGAAGAACAGGCCAGCTGGACCTGGTTCTTGCAGTGCCCAGGGGTGAGCAGGTTCTGAAAGGCTGATTCATGAAAACTGCACTGCCCAGGGGCCTGAGGGACACATCAGGATGCCACTTTTTGCCTTGTTCAATGAGAAATACACCTGTCACACAGACAGAGAATGTTTACGGTAGCACTGGCAGGGATGAGGAGGTTGAGTCTTGAAGGATAGTGGGAGTTCAAGTGAACAACCATGGGCAGAGTCAGGCAAAGGACTGGGTAAAGAAATCTCAGAAATCAAAGGGCAAACAAAGCGTAGCCCAGAGCATCAAGGTTAGAAGTAAGGTCAGGAGGCGAAATTCTAAGGTATCCCCAAAACCTGGGAGAGCTGCAGGGGCTCTTGCACTTCTGCCCTGTTTTCTTTGGTTACCCAGGATTCAAGAGATTGATCCCTGCTCCGTGCAGAATGCTCCAGCTATTAGAGACCCCACGTGATTGTCTGAGCTCTAATACACTTCAGGAGGAGTGGTAGTTCATCCTCATTCACCCAAGTGGCCTGTCTCACAAGTTGACTGACTCAATGACGCTGCTGTGAAGCTCTCAGCAGAGCACTGGTGGACTTGGAATCAGATACGTGAATTTGAGACCTTAAATAAATCATTTAGTCTCCCTAAACTTCAGTTTCCTATTTCTAAGATGAGGAAAAAATAAATTTATAGGACCGCATGAGTTTCAAGTGAAATAAGGTATGTAAAAGTGTTTTGCAGCTACAAACATTATCAGTGTTACTATTACTATTAAGCTTAAAATAGTCACTGATACATGGAAGCCCTGATGATTGGCAGCTGACCCCTTCTACCCTCTATTACAATGAAATAAGTGATTCTCAAACTTCTGTGTCCCTAAGAATCACTTGGAGCTTGCTCCAAATGCAGATTCTCAGGCACCATCCCAAGCAATTCTGATTGAGTAGGTCTGGGTTGGTCCCAGGAATTAGTCATGTAACAAGACCCTGAGGTAATCCTGATGTGGTGGTGACACAATTACACTTTGGAGAAAGAGAAGCTGAATTCTACAGTCTAATGTAGCAGGACTAAAGCCCTCATTCACCATTTTGAACTCAGAGCCTCCATAAATGCTTCTAAACGGAACTGGTACAGTTAAGTTTGAGACACTTGTAGGATATTCAGATGGAAATATCACCAGGTATTTGGGTGGGAGCTCAGGAGGAAGGTCTGGGATGGAGGTAAGATTTGGGAGTTATCAATGCATAGATAATAGTTGAAGCCTCCACAGGGGTGAGGTATGATGGCGGCCAGGCTCCAGGTCCCAGTCTCATTCACCGTTTACCAAAAGAGTATGTCTGGATGTCCCACAGTCTCTCTTCCTGAGTTCTCTCTGACCATGAATGACATTATCATCCACCAGATGCCTGATCCAGAAACCTGCCAATCACTGACCATCCCTTAGTGAATCAGTCACCAAGTCCAGCTGATCACACTCCTGAGTAATCCTCAGATCCTCCCCCTGCTCTTCATCCCCACTGCCACCAGTCTAGTCTCATCTCTTGCTTGGAATGCCACAGCTTCCCAACTGGCCTCCATCCTCCTTCCAGCCCTGCTCCCATCCAATCCAGCCTCCACGCTGCAGCCAGAGTGTGTGTGCTTCAGTTGTCTGGCTTCTCCAAACAGCCAGAGCTAGTCCTGAGGGCAGAGTCCCTGGTCTTGCTTGTTAATATGTCCCTGACACCTACCACAGTGCCTGGCTTCTAATAGGTGCTCATTAAATGTTTTCCCCCCACTATCCCCATGCTCCTTGTCCTCCCTTCTCTCCCAACTCTAAGGCTCAAAGGCAAAAGAAATTATTAGATTGGAAGAAAAGATAACTTGTGGTTCACCTTGTGGGCACCCACATAATGTTCTTTGTATAATGGAACTGCTGTGGGCCCCCGACAGAACCTTGTTAACTGAACCCCAGGCTACCTGCTACTTTCACAGCAGGCACCAGAGCATAAGCAGTAAAGGCTTAATCAGATCAACTAACTGGAGCCAGTGAAGGAGCTGGAGAATCTAGTGCCTTCTACATGGCATAAGATAACTCAGTGAAATGTCTCCAAATATCTTTAAAGAGCCAGTAAAATGGTATGAAAGGAAAATGGGGGAAGAGGAATGCTTTGGACAGGGAACCGGTCAGAAGCCCACACACAGGAGTAATCCAAGAGTTTATATTCCTTCCAATAGGGCTGTCCTGCCGGAAGGTGGCTGGGGCCTCACTGAAACTGCCCTCCCTCATGTATTGAATAAATATTTATTGAGCATCTGTTATAAGCACTTTATCCCTGTTTTAGGCTCTGGGGATACAGTAGCAAACAATTAAGACAAAAATCTCTGCTTTCATGCAGCTTATATTTTAGTGTGTGTGTGAGTAGACAATAAATTAAATAAACTAAATATCTAGTTTGTCAGCTTGTGATAAGTGCTATGGAGAAAGATCTCTCAGGGCCAGGGGAATAAGAGAAACAAAGCTCGAAGAGAAAAACTTTGAGATAAGCTTTGCTAACTGCAATTGTGCATATTCAGCGTAATCAACTGCTGTTTAAAACTAACCAGGTCATTCTGTCCCTCTTTAGTATATGAGTGAGCTGTCTTTCCCAGGAAGTCAAGGTCCAGACGTCAAGATTCAGCCTCACAAGGCCAAACACAGGCGGAGAAGGGAGTCTGGTGAGGCACTGATAAATCGGGTGTGTAGAGGGCCACCCGCAGCAGCTGCTTTGGCCTCTGGGAGGAGCGTCTGCTGGGGGCAGTAGGAAGAGCGCCCTTTCCTTTCCTGTTGAGGGTGAGCGTGAATTCCTCCCCTGCCATTGTCTTTTTTCTCCCCCTGCTGCTGCTCTTCATCCTGAGGGCTTTCAAAGGAAACTAGCAGGGGGCTCAGCCCATGACCATGTGGGCCCTCTAGGGAAATTGGAAAAGTCACACCAGATCTTTTCAGGGCAAGACAGTGCCCTGCAAACTAGGTCATGCTCCCTCCAGCCACAGTTCGCTTCCCCAGTGCTGAGGCCCTGCCTGCTGTGCCCCTCCTGACTGAAGCTGTTTGAGATGACTGGGAAAGACTGACACTCTGACCCAGAATGTGGATGTTCATGGGGTGGCGTGTGGCCAGTGCTCCTGCCCTGCTGGCAGAGCAGCTGGCAGTATGCCTGGAGAGCCACTGGCCACTGGGCTCCCTTTTAGCTGGATGTCGCTAAAGCTTAGACTGCCTGTGAAGCCCACTGGATCCTAGCTCTTTACTGCTGGTATTGGGGAAAAAACACTCGGGTTTGGATTTATGTCCTCTCTGTGGGCTGGCCAGACTGATTGTCATGTGTCAGTGAGTCTGTCTGAACTAAATCAGGCCAGGCCCAGCGTCGAGAGAGATGATTCCATAAAGCTGTGAAGAGCCCACAGCACCGAGTCTTTCTCTGTTCCCTGCGTCTCATGTTCAAGGATGTTGCTGCTGTGTCAGCAGTGTGGGAAGGGCTTTTACTCGTTTCACAGGCAGACTTATTCTTTAACATCCTGCACCAGTTCCCGTGATCCTGACCTTTGATGTGGAGTGCCAGAGGACCAACCAGGTTCCAGAAGAAAATGAAGTTCTGCGCCAGAAGGTGTGTTCTGAACATGCTTGCTCCTTGGGAAGTACTTCTGATTTTTTTGTTTGTGAAATTTGGTAGCAGCAGTGGAGGGCTGATTAAATACAGGAAAACACTGATCTCAGATGAAAGTGTGTCACCAGAAGTCAGTGTTGGGGATTCGGGGGCTGTAACAGTCTCTGAAAACCAGAGGTGAGGTTCCTATTTTAAGTCATGTGTGTAGCGTGAACAACACAGTAACAGTAATGAGCTTCGAAGAGAAGGCTGTATGCACTCATGCCTCACAACTAACCTGTTTTCCTGTCTATTTTGTCCCCCGAGTCCTTTTCCACATCTGTATTGTTTACAGCCCAGATATAGTTTAATTGTTCTGTTCAGCTGTGTTTCTCTAGTTTGGTAAAATGCTAGCGCCAGGAGACTCACATTGCCTTAGATTTTGCCTGAGGAGAATTTCTCTGTTCTTGAAATTAAGGTAGCATCTGAAAGAGGAAGAATTTCAGACAAAGGAAGATTGAAAGCTGTTTAGGTTTTGGGGTTTAAGATTCTTGGGTTGTGTGTGTGGGTGTATAGTTTTCTTTAGGCGAAAGGTCAAACATACTGAAATTCATTTAAGACATATTTTATGTGCAAGTTCCCAAGTCTGACTTTTTAGATTCCAAAGAGCAAAGCAGGATAGGGCGGAGCTGTCTTTCTCAGTGAATTCAGGAAGAAGCAAGTCAGATGATAAACAGAAAAACAAAAGTGAGTTTTGTGTATCTAACGGCTTTTAGTTTTCTCACCTCATGAGAGTCAGGTAACAGCGGCCACTTGCCCATTTTTCCAGTCCACGGTGAGCAGAGAGTGAGACGGGCCCTGAGGCCAAGGGCCAGGGGCCTTTTGAGCCAGTGAGGGTGGGTTTTGGATGTGATGTGTCTAATCTTCCCCAGGGGAGGGACGATTAGGTGGGATTGCAGTCTGACCCGCCCCTACTCCTATGTAGCTTTTTGCGTTGCAAGCCGAAATCCACCGACTGAAGAAAGAGGAGCAACAGCCAGACAAGGAAGAGGCCCTGGTCCAACACAAATTACCTCCTTATGTCTGCAACATGGACCGCCTGGGGGACTCGGAACTGTGAGTGTTCACTGCCCCTCGCGGGTGGGGTACACGTCCCCGCCTGTCTCCTGTGCTCTCCCCTGGAAAGCACCTTGCTCTGACCCTCCTGCTCCTAGGGAATTGCCAGAGACCCTCCTGGCCCTCACAGTTCTTGTCTAAGCTTTCTGAGGAAGGTTCCCTAGGAGTTGTTCCCCCCTCCCAGCCTCTGAGCCTGCCCAGGGAGGGGGAACTGCACAGCTCTGCCAGGGGTCTGCACATCCAGATGTGCGCAGCCTGCATAAATAAACACAACCCCTGTCGTGAAGCCTCAGGAAGTTTCTGTGCATTGAAAGGCGTGCCTTGTGGGTGGAAAGATTGGCCACCCCAGGTTGGATGCATTCAGTGGTAGAAGCATGCTCCTGTCAGGGTTTGAAGAGGTAGGCAGATTGGAGAGAGGTATTTGAGCGACGTTGAGAAACAGCCAGTTAAAGCAAAAGACCCAAGTGGTGATAATCACAGTAGCAGTTGAAGAAACGGAGGCACAGACAGGTCACAGTGATTGTGAATCAGGATGCAAACCCAGGCAGTCAGATTCCAAACCTACACATGGCCAAGTGCTGCAGCAGGTGAAACTGCTCTATAGAGGTTTCTGAGCTAGCGCCATCTGGCGGAGATAAATGCAAGACAAAATGTAATTAAAAAAATTTTAGTAGCTATGTGAAAAGAAAATTAAAAGTGAGGCCAGCCTGATGGTATAGGGGTTAAGTTTGGTGTGCTTCGCTTTGGCAGCCCTGGGTTCGCGAGTTTGGGTCTCTAGTGCAGACCTACACCACTCATCAAGCCATAGTGTGGCGGCAACCCACATACAAAATAGAGGAAGATGGGCACAGGGCCACTCGTCCTAGAGCAAAAAGAGGAAGACTGGCAACAGGTGTTAGCTCAGGGCCAATCTTCCTCACCAAAAAGAAAAATTAAAAGAAACAGGTGAAGCTAATTTTAACGATGTATTTTATTTAGGCCAATATATGCAAAATATCATTTCAACATGTGGTGAATATAAACAAAATATTAAATTTTTCACTTTTTGCATGCTAAGTCTTGAATTTTAGCATATATTTTACACCACTAGCGCCTCCCGTTTTGGCCCAACCACATTTCAGGTGCTCAGGGGCACATGTGGTCAGTGGTTGTGGGACAGCACAGCTCTGAGCTTTCCTGTGGCCCTCAAAGAAGAGCCACAGACGTCACCATTGTGCCAGATAGGCTACCGGTTCCCTTTGGTACAAGAAATAGTACCAAGGATAACGCCGCCTTAAAGCCCAGGCGTGTGGACCTGGCGAAGTCCCTGGTCCCTGGCGCCGTCCATAGCCCAGTCCACAGCTAAGCCTCCTGGGTTCCCCTCCAGCCCTGTGACCTTGTGGTGTGTCTGCTTGACCAGAGCCATGGTGTGCAGCCAGAGGAACGCTTCCCTCTCCCAGTCTCCTCGTGTGGGCTTCCTGTCCTCACTGCTGCCTCAGAATAAGAAGAGCCCCTCAAGGTTGTTGCCTTACCCAGTATCAAATGACCTCATAGTTACTGAGATGCCAGTGGTAAGAACAGCTGCCCTTGGGGCTGTTTCCATGGATCTTAGCCGGATGGGGAAGAGGGAGCCCTGTTTCATGTCTTTCATTCTGTAATTCCAGTGTTACGAGGGCTTGCCTTCTGGGTGGCTTTATTTTGCTTCAGGTGAGACCAAGTTACTGGCCCTTGTTCCCTGCCCCATTTGGATGACTGCCTGGCAAGCTCTTTTCAGGCCACTGAAAATTAATTTATATCCTTCTCCAGAGTGAGAAGCAAGAAGGTCAAATGATAAAACATAGGTTCAGATATCTCTGCTGAGCTCTAGGGGACAGGTGGATTACGATAGAATATGACAATATAATTTGGACCATTGGAATGTTATATGAATCCAGTAGTTAAGATTTTTATGAAGTTTGCTCTTTAAAAAAAATAAAACATTCAACTACCAATTAGGTCATGGTAAACATTTATTTACGTACATTTATAGCTAGAGGCAAGTTTATCTTAACCTACTTAAAGTGTTTTCTGCACAGCTGCATTCATCAGTGTTCAGCACATTAGTATTTTTTGTTATTTTTCACCCTTCTTTAGTAAATAACTTAGATGTAATTTAAGGAGAGGCTCTCTTTCGGCAGGCTCTGATGGGTCCATAGCTGTCTGGGTGTGAATTACCCTGTCACTGTAAAAGTGGTTCTTAATTTATTGCAGTGCCCTTTGTTAATGCCTGTGTGAGTTTTCATTCTGGAATACTGTCCAGCCCCCAGCCTGGTGATGTACTGGACAAATTCTTTGCCACCTTGACTTGTGAGCGAAGCACTGCCTCTGTACTTCTTAATGTTATATTTCCTGTCCTTGCTGGGGAAGAGTTAACAATTGGCTTTTGTGTCACCTAGAGGAATTTGAAGTCCATCCTAAGCCTCCCTATTCCATCAGTGTTGGTCAATTGAATTGAGCACTCTTAACACCAAACGTTGAAAAGGAAAAGACACCATTTACCAGGTGTAGTGAGTGAGTAAGGAAAGAAAAGAGGCCCAGAAAGTGCCTGTATTCCCTCTAGCATTCCCCAGCTTTGGTCTCAGGCAGGATACCTCTGTGGTCCATATACTTTTTCCTTGGAATGAATGCAATATTATATGGGTTCTTTTCCCTTTTCTTCTCAGATATTCAGTTTAAAGGTTTCTTGGTCAGGTTAATAAATCTATCAAACTTGCATAATAGTTGTTCGAGGCTTTCTGAGACTTCCTCACTTGCCAGGATCCCACTATTTTGGAAAACAGCTGTCAACCCAGGAAACCAATTTTCCTTCTCCTTGGCACTGTTTATGGAGCTAGCTGTAGAGTTCCCACAGCCATCTTTTAGATTCAGAAAATGCAGCCTCTACTACCAGTTCTTTTGTCTTTTCTATCAAAATGTTAAAGCTTATAGAGACATGTTTTGGAATTCTTCATTTCTCACTTTATTTGAGTCCTCTTTTTTTCTTGGTAAGTCTAGCTAAAGGTTTGTCTATTTTGTTTGTCTTAAAAAAAACAGCTCTTAATTTCCTTGATCATTTTCATTGTCTTTTTTGTCTCTATTTCATTAATTTCTACTCTGATCTTTGTTATTTCATCCTTCAGTTAACTTTGGGCTTCATTTATTCTTTTTCTAGTTCCTTGAGGAAATTGTTTATTTGAGATCTTTGTTTTTTCTTAATGTAGGCGTTTATTGCTATGAACTTGCTTTTTAGAACTGCTTTTGCTGTATCCCATAAGTTTTGATATGTTCTGTTTCCATTTTCATATGTATCAAGATATTTTTTGATTTCTCTTTCTTTGGCCACTGGTTGTTCAGGAGCATGTTGTTTAATCTCCACATATTTGTGAATTTTTTAGTTTTCTTCATGTAACTGATTTTTAGCTTTATACCATTGTGATGCTTGATATGATTTCAATCTTCTTAAATTCATTAAGACTTGGTTTGTGGCCAAACATATGATCTATCTTGGAGAATGTTCTATGTGCACTTGAGAACAATGTGTATTCTGCTACTTTTGGATGGAGCATTCTGTAGATGTCCATTAAGTTCATTTGATCTAGTGTATAGATTAAGTCCAATGTTTCCTTACTGATTTCCTGTCTGGATGATCTCTCCATTGTTGAAAGTAGGGTATTAAAGTGCCCTACTATTATTGTATTGCTGCCTATTTCTCCCTTCATGTCCTTTAGTATTTGCTTTATATATTTATGTGCTCTTATGTCAGGTGCATAAATATTTACAAATGTTTTATCTTCTTTTTGGATTGACCGCTTTGTCATTATATAATGTCCTTGTCTCTTATTACAGTCTTTGGCTTGAAATCTGTTTTGTCTGATATAAGTTTAGCTACCCCTGTGGAATTCTTCAGTCTAATTTGCCATCTGGATCAGTAGATATGGAGAGGAATCAATGGATTTATGTAATGAGGGCCGTCACCCTTGGGTCACATCCCTTATGGTTACCTCGTGACCTCTCTGTTATCAGTTGTCTTGACCCTGTCTTGCTTCTGGGAAGATGAGAGAAGTCTTCTTCCACTTTCTAAATCTGTGGAACGTGTTCAGTGTTCCATGGACCATGGGATACTTCTCAAGAATGGCCGGAAGCACTGAGAGAAGGGCCTTGTCTTGGTTATGTTAGGTAGCTCCAGGATTATAACATTTCTTCTTATCTTTTCTGTTCAGTGTCCCTTTCTCCCAAGTGCTCCCTTTATGGTATTGCTTTTCTCGGCTTTCTCTGAGAATGGGGTTTGCTGTCAGATCTGGGTGCAAATTCCAGCTCCAACAAGTTCTCCCTGTGTAGAGCAAGTAACTTAACCTCTCTAAGCCTCAGTTCCTCATGTTAAAATCGTGTCCTCATCTTTAAGGGGATGTTTGTGAAGTTCTTAGCATGGTGCTTTACGTATGGTAAACATTCAATGATTGATATATATTGTCTCTATTATCATTATTGTTGTTGGTTTTCTTCTTATTTCTTTTCTCTTGAACAAGAACCCTACTTCTCCCAAAATAAGCCAGAATTCAGAGAACAAATACTTTCTCTAGAAGAAACATCTGTAAAAACCATAAGTAGATACCCCTGGAGGTTGCCTCGGTCATAAAAACAAAAATAGCAAATACCCTGTAGGTCAGAAACAGTTAGGCTCTAGGTAAACTAATTGTCCTTTAAAATTTCATTTCTTAACACATATTCACATGGCTGCAAGGTCCCAAGGAATCTATGTTAATCATTTTAAATTGTTTAGTGTTAACACAAAAAATTACAAGTAAAAGAACTAGAAAGCAACAAGCAGACTGTGGTTGAGTTTATTCTCTTAGCCATACACTTGGCCTGAAACAAGAGAGGATATTGTGTTCCTTTTTCCCTCCAGATTGTATGGGCACAAACTAGATGAGACTTACAACCTGGTGTCTCCCGCTATAGACAGCTGAGGGAAAGGACCCAGCGTGTGGGCCCAAGGATGGAAAGGGTCTCTTCAGCAGACTGGCCACCGGGGAGTCCAGCTGGTCGCAGCACCGGCAGTGGTGCCTGCAGGATCACAGAAAGGAGAGGAAGGAGCTTCTCTCCACTTTGCAGGTACGGCTTGTCCTCTCCCCCCACCGCGGGGACAGCACACGGCTACCGTGGATGGCCGTGGGAATTGTGGGGGTGCAGGGCCCGCTCTTACCTCTCTTGATTATGCTGCTGTGTAGAGCGTGGTTTTGCCTAACTGGGTTTAATTGCTTGTGCTTTGGTTGTTTTGTTGATATTGTGCCTGGCTCTTCTGTGGTCCCTTTTCCCCATGTAGCATTTCCCTAAGTAGGGGCCATAAGATGCCAACTGAAAGTGGTCCCACACGATGAGTTCTGTGATTGAATTGGTTTGGGACCCCTTGCGTGCTGCGTCCTTCCCCAAAGTTAACTGTGCGTATTAATGGTAGCGTGTCGCAGGCTCTCAGACTCCACAGAGAGACCTGTTTCCCTTGGTTTAACCCCGAATCCCCCAGACTTGATCACAGAAGCCTTTCCTCCAGAGCCCCCTGAGGCCCATCTGCTGAAGAGGCGGTTCTGAGAGCCACATGCCCACACAGTGTCATGCTGCAGCCCAGACCCTTGCCATGCTGTCCCTGAGACTCCCCTCACTGCTGAATGTGGCTCGGGGTCTGCTCTTCCTGGCAGTGTGAGCTGCCTCCTTTTCCTTCAAATACTCTGGGTTGAAGACAAAAGCCTGAGGGATTTACTGCTTAAGCACCTTGTTGGCCACTTATCAGGAGATAAATGCCTATGTTAAAGATATTTCTGCCGATTCCCAGCCCTCTAGGGTTCCAGGTTGATGGTAATAGACACTTATGACTCCGATCTCAAATCCTCCTGTCCGGCGCTGTAGGATTAAAGACACTCCTGAGCTCAGCCACTCCCATAGGGCACTTTTCTGATCTCCAGTCTCTCTTCTCTGTTATTATTTTGCTGTAGAACTGCTCTTCCTGTGACCCTGGGGAGCGCTTAGAGGAGGATCAGGAGCTCTGGGGGTGGTGGTGATGCCAGCTGATGCCCTGGCCTGGGTTATGTCTGGGTTAGCGGGTTGTAATCATGGTGGCCACCACTTAGTGCACCAGGAGCAGAGACAAGGGCCGCTGCAGACCCTGGGTGCCAGGGCATGTGGGGTGCCCTCTGGCCTCTGGCCTTGCTCTGGCTCTGCTGCTGTCCATGGGTCTCTGTCGTTATGCCTGGCCGGTGGCCTCAGTGTCTCAGTGACCCCCTCCCAGTAGGAGGCGCTGGCTGGCGTGGTGGTGTACTGCTGAGGGGCCAGCTTACCTCTGACTGACCTGGCTTCACGTCCAAGTCCTGCCCCTGGCCAGCTCTTGACCTTGGGCAAGTTACTTAACTGATGCTGCTTTCAGTCCTACTTTCCACAGCTGTAAAATGGCATTAATGATAGGATCCACATAGTTTCGGAGAGGATTAAGTGAGAGAATCGGTCGTATTCACACAATGTCTGGCTCACAGTAGGCACTCACTAACCGACTTCTGTCATCATTGGCCTGGCCTGTCAAGATGGTGTGTATCCTGAGTCCCCTCAGCTCTGACAGGGAGGGGCGCCCGTGGCCCACTCCTTCCTCATCAGGGCCTGTGTGAGGAGCAGGGTCTCTAGAAAGGGGCCGTTGGTAAAGGATGCACCGCCTCTCCTGAGGCGAGCTGGGCGCTGCTCTCGCCATTCAGAGCTCTCTCCTCTAGACTCTGAGACCACCGCGAGCCCCCTCAGAGTGCTGCGGCCTGGTGTTCTAGATGTCCCGCAGTGTGTCCCCGGGCGTGGCAAATGGCTGGGTCCAGCACAGACAGCCACAGCTGACTTGTCCCCACTTTGCTTGGCACAGTGTGTCGAGAAGAAGCCTGAAGCTAGTGGCCCAGAGGGAGAGCCCTGCCCAGAGCTCCACGTGGAGGTCCTGGAGACGCTGACGCGGGCTTCCACAGCAGGCCCTGAGGGCGGAGGGGTCCGCTCCAAGCAGCCGTTCATCGTGCTGGGGCAGGAGGAGTATGGAGAGCACCACTCCTCCATCATGCACTGCAGGCAGGTTCGGGCCAGGGGCGAGGGCCACCAGGGAAAACGCTGACCAGGGTGGGGGCTGGTCTTTTCAGGCTGTGCGTGTGAGGTGTGGCAGGCAGGAGGATGGGGGTGACTGTAGGCGCAGATGGTGGGATGGTCCCTGAAGGGCCCCAGTCACTCCTGAACAGTCAGAGGAGGACTGGGCAGCTGTCACCAGGGGTCCTGCTCAGAGCTGCTGTTGGCTTGGTGAACCTCTCTATCCTTCCTAACTGTGAGAGTCTGAGTTTTAGGAACAAGTTACCTTTTATTTTAACCCTCTAAGACTTACTCAGTTTTAATTTGCTTTATGTGGGTACTTTTAGGTAAATATTTACCACGTGTAAATATTTTACATGGTGAAAGCATGACCTTTCATGAACAAGCCCTCCTGGGGTATCATGTTCAGAGGGTCAGTGGGTTCCTTGCTCTGACAGCCCTGATGGGCTCCGGAGCTGTGATGCAGGAGGCTCTCTGTCTCCAGAGCCTGCCAGCGCTGAGTGTGGGGCCAGGTTGCCCGCTGTTCTGTCCTCACCACCGGGCTCAGTATACTACATAGGTAGTTCTTGGATTGATAAATATTTCTAGAAATTGTCCATGCCCACCCCTGTAGTGTAGGCATTTCGGGATTATTTTTTAAAACAGTAGGAAAGTCAGAAGATCCATCATCTGGGCGTTAGCTGAGGAGGACGGCCGACTGAGGTAAGGATGCTTACAGCTTCTCTCTTTTTTTGTCCTTAGAGTGGACTGCTCAGGGCGGAGGGTCACCAGCTTGTAGATGGGGTCATCAAAGTGTGGTCCTTCAGCCCCATCATGCAGACCAAAGCGTCGTCCATTTCCAAGTTGCCGCTGCTCTCTCTGGAGTGGGCCGCCAAGCGGGACAGGCTGGTGAGTAACGTCTTGCCTCGTTGCTCGCTCTGTGCTCTAAGTGACGAATTCTCCAGGGCTCTCCACCCAGCTCTGCCACCACAGGCCAAGTTGAGGCAGCCAAACTAGACCCCCTCCCTTCTCTCTGTCATTGGGAATTTGGGGACCACACATCCAAGACTGTCCCAGCGGGCATCTGTCGGGGGGTGGCAGGGAGGTTACTGGATTCACAAGAATTGTGATTAGACTGCATGGGACCTGGAGAACGCTCTCCCGTCAGATGGCAGAGGCCTTCTTCCCATCTGTGGTGATCTGGGCCGCTTCTCCATCTGCCTGGGGAGGGACTGGCTTACTTTCTGTTCTCCCCCAGGAGCTCCTGTCGTCTTTCCGCGGTTTCTAACAACCCACTTTGAACATTCTCAGCTGCCCCCTCCGACTGCTAAGACCCCTCCCTGTGCCAGGCCCCAAGGGAAGCAGCTTAAGCTGGTGGGGGTGGTGTCCTATTTCATGGTTCCCAGGTCTAATGCGATTGTGTCACTCAGTGTTCTTATTCCTTCTGGACTTTAATATTTGTGATAGGATTTGTAGTTAAGGAGGTAAAGTTGATTTATAGTTTTTTCTTTGATTGTATTCGATTTTGAGGGGATCATACCAGGCAGCCCAAGGGGCAAACCTTGTTTTTTTATAATTTTTGACAACTGCAGGAATTATCCTTATGGTACTAGGATCTTGGGCTTACCTTGTACCACTGTAATTTGCCAAGTGAATGTTGAGGTCCTGATGTAGGGAACATTCCTGGGGGACACCCTCAGACCTGCTTCTGGTGCTTTCTTCTGGCAGCAGTCGTTCTTACCTTTGAAGCTTTTCACCAAATAAATCACAAATTCCTGAAGGCAAGGATAGCTTCTTCTATTTCTTCTGGAGGCCTTCACAGGCCCAGAGCTGGAGCTGTCCCCAGAACCCCCACATGGGCCAGTGACCCAGGTGTGGTGAGCACCTGGGGCCAGTACCTAGGGGGGTGGTGGCAAGGAGGTCAGGAGCAAGAAGGAAGGGCTGGAACAGCTGGGCTTTAAAACTGAAAGAAAGGGAGAGAAGATACAAGGGTCTCATTTAATCAGCCAGAACATTCCCACTGCCTTGTATCTGAGGTGATACCTCTCTGCCGTCCACAGATCCTTTTGTGATTGTGCTTGTGTTCAAGGTCAGCTCTGATGTCTTTATTTAAATGTGAAATGAGGTCCTTTTTAGCCAGATTTCAGAGAACTACCTGGATAAGTGGAGGGGCCTCACCCCTGCAGCCTGACCAGACCCGTACCTCACAGGAGCAGGCCTGGCTCCACGTGGTCCTCCCTGACCGGGCCTGACCCCATGCTGTTCTTCACACCTGCCGCCCCTTCTCATTCCAGTTCTTGCTGGGCAGTGGTGTGGGGACAGTGCGCCTTTATGACACGGAAGCCAAGAAGAATCTCTGTGAAATCACTGTCAACGACGATATGCCCAGGTGAGTTGGAGGCCACACCCCCCACTCACTGTGCTCTGCGGGACCTGGTCCTTTGCTGGGCCTTCTGCCCCACCTCCTGTGGCGGGCCCCAGCCTCAGAGCCGAAGCTCATCCTTCCTCTGCGCTGGCAGAGTGCTGACCCTGCCCCACCCTGTCTGTTGCAGAATCCTGTCTCTCGCCTGCAGCCCCAGCGGGGCCTCTTTCGTCTGTTCAGCTGCAGCTCCGAGCCTCGCTTCTCAGGTGGACTTCTCCGCACCAGACATCAGCAGCAAGGGCACTAACCGGGTTCCTGGCAAGCTGCTGCTGTGGGACACGAAAACCATGAAGCAGCAGGTGCGGGCCCTGCCCCGCGGGTCACCCTCCCAGGACTCGATTTCTGAGAGTCTCTTCGCTCTCTTTGCTTTGGTCTCCTCAGGTTTTGATTTATGAGGAAATTTCAAAGTTCAAGTGTTGAAAAGGAGTAATACTCCAGCTGGGCAGATTGCTAGCAACTTAAGTCATTCAGAATTGTGCCACAAACTGAGAAGTCACACAGAGCCTATGAGAGGGCCCTTGTGGTTTATGTAAAAAATTTTTTAATTTAATTTTTGTTTATATGTAAAGACTATTTTTGAGCAATTTTAGGTTGACAGCAAGACTGAGAGGAAGGTACAGAGATTTCCCGTATACTCCCTGCCCCTTCACATGCATGGCCTCCACAGCTATCAACACTCCACCAGAGTGTGGTACGTTTGTTACAATTGATGCATCTACACTGACTCAACATAATCACCCAAAGTCCGTAGTTTACATTAGGGTTCATTCTTGGTGTTGAACATTGTGTGGGTTTGGACAAATGTGTAATGACATGTATCCCCCCTTATAGTATCATACAGGGAATTTTCACTGCCCTAAAAATCCTCTGCTCCACCTATTCATCTCCCTCACCCCACAACCCCTGGTAACTGCGGTCTTATACTGTCTCCATAGTTTTGCTTTTTCCAGAATATCGTATAGTTGGAATCACACAGCCTTTTCAGATTGGCTTCTTTCACTTAATATTGTGATTCCAGTGGTTATTTTGGGGAGACGACTGGAGTCTCCTTCTGACTCCCTGTTAGCTTAGAATTGCATAAAAATGACAGCAGCACTTGGAGTAGTGAGGACACATGCGTATTCTGAGAAGCAACAGAACTGTGAAAGCTTGCTCACGGGGCCATGTGGCCCACCTTCCTCAGGAGCTGAGGACCCGTTCCCATGCAGAACAGGAGATGCCTGCAGCTGTGACCCTAACACCTAGAGAGATTCATTGATGTCTGAAGTCACCTCTGTAAAAGGCAGTGATGTTCCTTGTTAAAATTAGTGTTGGTGCTCAAAAGTGGTGTGGCCCTTATGTTGAACAGATTGTTTCCTGATGTTGCTGGACGCTTGCAGGGTCCCTGTCTCATAGGTGCCCTGTGTTCCAAGTGTTCAGTTTGCACCTTACTGCATCTGCTGGTACAGATGGTGTAAATTCCCATTGGGAAGTCTCACAAATGTCTCAGGCCTATGTGGGCCACACCCGAATTCTTGACCACGCCCTGCCACACCTGTTCTCTAGTCTTCCTGCATCCCACTGAGAAATGGTACCTTTCCGGGCCCCTCTTTCTCCCTCAGCCTACACCACCAATCTATGAGCAAACATTGTTAGTTCCACCTCCCAAATGTGTTCCCAGTCTGACCACTTCTCTGCACTTCCAGGGACACACCCTAGACCCGCTGTCTAGTGCCCCTCAGCCGGATAGCTGCAGGACCTCCTGCTGTGGCACCCACCCCCCGTCTCCCCACCACCACCTGGGGGACAGGCAGACACTGCAGCACGTCACGCTCCTTCCTGCTCTTCCAGGTTTCACATCCCCTGTCCCTCAAGGCCCTGCACGCTGCCCCTCCCCACACTCCGGCCTCCTGGTGCTTCCTGCCCTTCTCATCCTGCAGCCGCAGGCCCTTCCTGTGTGCTGCCCCCTTTCCAGAGGCTTCTTACCCCACCCTGTCTGGCAGACATCTGTCCTCCAGCATCTCTTAGAAGCTTTCCTGTTTACAACCCAGTTTGGTTAGTTCCTTCTTAATCTTGCTGTTTTCCTCAAGGCACTTACCATGATTTCTAATTTTATGTTTACTTGTTATTCTAAAATTTCAAATTAAATATTGAATACATATATAAGAATATTGAAATTGTAGATATATGGTATAATGAGAATAAAAGTAGTAAAATAAGCACCTATATACACAACAGTTTAAAAATCAAACCTTACCAATACTTTTTATGCTCCTGTGTGCCCCTCCCTAGGCTTGGTCTCTTCCCCCTACCAGAGATAACTGTCTTGAATTTTGGTTTATTATTGCACTACATTTACTTTTTATTTTTATTTTTCGTACCAGCTCCAGTTCTCCCTGGATCTGGAGCCCATTGGTATCAACTGCACAGCCTTCAATCACAACGGGAACCTGCTGGTCACAGGGGCGGCTGACGGCGTCATCCGGCTGTTTGGTAAGTAGGTGTGCTCACGGCAATCCTGGTCCCCTCCTTAAATGGCTCAGAGAAGAGAGTTGGGTTTTTGCCAGCTGGACCAGAGACTGTTGCAAACCCGATTCAAGATGCTCACAATAGAGCTTAACTTTGGTCAGGGTCTGCTGTTTCCAGAGCACCCTCTGTAATCACTTTGCACGTGGTCGGTCTAAGTGGACGCGGGAGAGTGGAGCTTAGCGGTCCTTCAGTCTTGAGGTGTTGCATCTGAGTCCTCAGGCCTGAGTGAGATCCAAGAGGACACACGAGCTGATGCTGTCCTGTCCTCTCGGTGAGGCTAGTTCCTTCTCCCCATGAAAGCGTTAGAACAGTGTGCATCAGAATCATCTGGCACGCTGTTTAAAGATGCTCATGCCACCCCTGTCCCAGGAGGCCCAACGTCAGAGGGTCAGGGATGGGACTAGGGACTGTATCTTTAACAGATCCCCAGGGTCCCCTGGTGGGAAGTTACAGAGGCCTCCTAGGAAGGACTTGTGTGTCCTCCTAGACAAACGGGCTCTGCCCAGGGATTCCGGAACCTTACTTTTGACCCAGTAAAGGAAGCTGCTTGTGGGGCTCAGAGGCAGCCTGGCCTCTTCAGCAGACGTCAGCCCTGTGACCGCTGTCAGGTCCTGGAGGCACTCTGCCTCCAGAACAGCTCCCACCCACTGGGCAGAGGGCAAGGGGTGCCTCCTGTCATGGGCAGATGCCTCCCCAGGGCCCGGGCGGGAATCTCAGCGGCGTCTGTTGCCTCAGATATGCAGCAGCACGAGTGCGCTATGAGCTGGAAGGCCCACTGCGAGGAGGTCTACTCCGTGGAGTTCAGCTACGACGAGAACACCGTGTACAGCATCGGCGAGGACAGGAAGGTAGGTGAGCAGGGTCCAGATCAGGAACTTCCTTCCCTCTGGCTTAGGCATCTGAGCTTCCAGAACACACCAGAATAGCAAGATGGGCTGGGTTTAAATCCTGACCATTTCTTTTACTGGCTCTAACCTTGGGCCTTTCTTTGCCCAATTTTGTCATCTGTAAAATAGGGATAATAATAGTAACCAATTGGAGAGGATCTTTGTGAGGTTTAAATGAGTTCAGTGGGCGTTGGCTATTCTTATGAAAGGGGACTATCCACATCCCTTCTCCTTGTAGTAGCAAAGTGACTCATCCCACCATAGGTGGAGCACTGGGGTCCGGATCTGGGCCCAGGTTGTGCTGTGGTGAGCTTGGTAGTTGGGTGGTCACAGCATGGAGGTGTAGAGTTTGCTGGGGGGTGGGGAGCTGCACTCAGCTTCCCAGAGGCAGCTGTGTAGGCCTGAGCAGAGTCCAGAAATGTTGTAAAAAGGAAGCTGGGGGAAAAAAGTAAAACCAACTGCTCTCTTGTAGCTTTTCTACAGGGTGGGGCAAGCAGAGGTGGGAGAAAGACTTGCTTTTCATGTATGCTCTCCTGGATCTTTTGAATTTTATACTATCTACCAGTATTATCCTATGTTCATAGGATTCCTCCTATCGTTTTGTGAGCTCTCCCAGTGTCTTTCCTTCCCAGTTACAAGAATCAATAAATCCCATCTCCCATTTTTTGAGTTACACTTTTCTCATTTCCAGCCAAAAGGGGTGCTAACCAATTCCACAGAAATCTCCTCTGTGGCTCAGCAGGGAATTGGGGGTTGTGGCCACCACCGTGTTGCACTAGGGCAGAGAAGTCTGACTTATTTCACTTAGCATAATGCTCTTGAGGTCTATTCATGTTGTCACAAAATGCAAGATTTCATTCTTTTTTATGGCAGAATAATATTCCATGGTATATATATTATATATATACCACATATCTTCATCCATTCATCCGTCAATGGACATCAAGGTTGTTTCCATATCTTGGCTATCATAAATAATGATGCAATGAACATGGAGATATATATATCTTTTTGAATTAATGTTTTCATTTTCTTCAGAAAAATACCTAGCAGTAGAATTGCTGGATCATATAGTAGTTCTATTTTTAAATTTTTGAGGAAACTCCATACTGCTTTCCATTGTAGTTGTACCAATATACATTCCCAGCAGCAGTGCAGACAGTTCTCCTTACATTCTGGTTTCTGTGGCGCCCTTCAGACACTCTCCTGAGGAATCCTGGGAGCAGACGGTAAGCTGGCACACTCCCACCTCACCTTTCCCACCATGTTCCAGTCTCGGCCAGAAGGGGAGGTACTGAGTATAGGAAGAAGTGCAGAACTTTGTGCCAATCCCACAGGGGAGGCTGTAGACCTCTGATGCCTTCGGAGTCTCCTCAGACACTTTCTGGATTTGATCCTCTGCCAGGAGGCCTCTCTCCTCTGGACTTCCTAATAGGAGACAGTGAGCAGTCAAGACGGGGCCCTGATGGAGCTGGGCGGAGGTGGGCTGGAGGGAGCCTCTGGTGCCCTCTGCAGGCACTCATGAGGTGTCCTCTCAGTGCCCTCCACCTGCCAAAAGGGATTCCTCCACCTCCTCCTCCAAGCCCATCCAAGAATCACAGCTCAGCTCATCAGGCATCCCCTGAGTTCCCACTGTGGGGCTGACATGGTGCAGAGCTCCAGGGTACAACCTTATATGAACCAACATCCTCTCCTCATCTTCAGGAGTGGGCCTCTCCACATTTAATGTTTCTGGAATGAAGATGCATTTTACACTTGGTAGAGAGAAGAAAGGTGGAAAATAGAATACCATGAAGCAGGGGCTAGCATAGAGGTCCTGTCGAGAGGCTGTGCCAGGATCAAGAAGGCAGCATTGAAACCCATCTGGGATGGCAGCTCTGCACTCTTCACCTTCAGTGTCCTCAGCACTTATAGACTCAGTTTGCTCATCATCACATTTGTTACTGTGTATTGTAATTGTTTGTTTTCTTGTTTCTCTGCCCTATTAGCCTGTGGACTTCCGGAAGGCAGTGGGCATGTCTTTCTGCTCTTTGTATTCTCAGTACATAGCATCTGGAGTACAACAAGTGCTCAATGGGTTTTTATTGAAAATATGAATGGATGAATGAATGAATACATGTGTTCTCTCCCTCACCAACTAGACTGCAGGCTCTGGGCATGGGGTTGTATCTTTTCGGTTTTGCTTCTGGTGCATTTCTCACCTTCAGGCTGTGTTATGGACTGAATTGTGTCCTCCCCAAAATCATATGTTGACGCCTTCACCCCCCATATTTCAGAATGTGCCTTATTTGGTGATAGGACCTTTAAAGAAGTGGTTAAGTTAAAGATAAGGTCTTTAGAATGGGCCCTAATCTAATCTGACTTGTGTCTTTCTAAGAAGAGGAGATTAGAACATGGAGACAGCAGGTCTGCACATACACAGAGGAGAAGGCACATGAGGACACAGCAAGAAGGTGGCCCTCTGGAGCCAAGGAGAGAGGTCTCAGGAGAAACCAACCCTGCCAACTCCTTGATCTCAGCCTTCTAGCATCCAGACTGTGAGAAAATACGTTTCAGTTGTTTAAGCCCCCCCAGTCTGTGGTATTTTGTTATGGCAACCCTAGAAAGCTAACACATGCCTTTACACCCCACTCAGACCCAGGGCCTCCTCAAGGTATGCTGTGGCCAGCCTGACATGGTAATCTGAGGCAGAAAGGCAATGTGGATAGCCCAAATACTGACCATCTACCCAAACGGCTAGCTTATAAGCGAAAGTGAGCCCTACCTGGGATGGTGTTGTCTAGTAGAAAGCCCAGAAATCCCCCTACAAACATGTCCGTGGTCAGCAGCACCTGGATGACCTGGTCCAGTTGGAAAATCCCTAGAGTGGAGACAAAAGTGACAGTGATTCCCAGGGACAAAGGGCCCCACTGGCTCTTCCACTGGAGTGGTCACAGTCTAGAGGATGGAGAATCACCTGTGTGGAGCATCTCAGCGTTCCTGTTCACCCATTTGGAAATGGAAATCCCACAGAAGATGGAGAAGCCAAAGACAAAAGTGTTCCTGGACAAGTTCATGTCCACGTACTGCAGGAGAGAGGCCCCCATGGCAAACCCAGAAGCATTGGCACCTGTACTGCACGTCAATCTAACATCCCTCAAAAGCCCCCTCCCCTCCCACCACCACCAGAGTCGGGAGGAAGGCTGGAATCAGAGTGACACATGCTCTCAGTGGGCCAGCCAGGCCCCAATTCCAACTTGACCTTGGGAGTTTAGTGGTTTAGATGATCTAATGCAAGCTGATGCAATTTCTGTTTTTCAGATGTTTGGATGATACTGGCTATTTATTTCTTCCATTTGAAGGCCAGTGTGGTTCCTGGGACCATTCATCTCATCCCCATGGGCTCCTCTCAGGGGATGCAGTGCTACTGCTTTTCCAAGGGTGCCTTGCCTCTCCTGCAGATTGGAAATCCTCAAGGGCAGTGATGGTCCCAGACGTCACCAGGAACATGCCTCTGATCACAGGGGTTGGGATAGTGGCAAATGAAGCCCCGATCTTCCCAAATACTCCCATCATGAGCAGCACACAGCCCGGAGTGACCATCACCATCCTGCTCACCACCTGCAGTGCTCAAGGAGATGGGTGACAAGGAGCTCAGCACCAGCCAGGCCACAAGTCCAGAGGCCTCTGCCCTGCTCCCGGGGCACCTGGAACATCACTCCAGTGGACTTGCAGGAACACCACCTAACCCCAAAATGGTGCCCCCTGTGCTCCCACATGGGGTTTGGGAAAGGATGAGGGTGTGACCTTGGATCCCGGCCTCTGCCCTCACCTCTCCACTCGGCTGCTCTCACACTTGTCTTCAAGTCCTGACTCAGATGCTCCTCCTCTAATAAACCTTTACAGTGAGGCAAGAAGTCTCTCTAGGAAGCCAGTGGCCAAGTGCTTAAGAATGGAGGTTTGAGAGTCAATCCCAGCTCTGCCTCTAACTAGCTGTGTGGCTTTGGGTACATTACCTAACCTCTCCAAATGTCAGCCTCCACAAACCAAATGGTATTAATAATATTTACTTCACACACTCACTGTATGAGACCAGCATTACCCTGATACCAAAGCCAGATAAAGATACTACAAGAAAACTACAGACCAATATCATTGATGAATATAGATGCAAAAATTCTCAACAAAATATTAGCTAACTGAACCCAACAGCACATTAAAAAGAACATGAGTAAATGTGATTTATTCCAGGGATGCAAGGATGGTTCAACATCTGCAAATCAATCGGTGTGTTACACCACACTGACAGAAAGAAAGATAAAATCATATGATCATCTCAATAGATGCAGAGAAAGCATTCCAGAAAATTCAACATTCTTTCAAGATAAAAACTCTCAACAAATTGAGTATAGAAGGAATATAATTCAACACCATAAAGACCATATGGGACAAACCCACAGCTAATATCATACTCAACCCTGAAAGGTTGAAAGCTTTTCCTCTAAGATCAAGAAGACAAGGGTGCCCACTTTCATTACTCCTATTCAACATAGGAGTGGAACATAGTACTGGAAGTCCCAGCTAGAGCAATCAGGTAAGATAAAGAAATAAAAGGCATACAAATCAGAAAGGAAGAAGTGAAGGGGCCAGCCCGGTGGCGCAAGCAGTTAAGTGCGCGCACTCTGCTGTGGTGGCCTGGGGTTCGCCGCTTCAGATCCCAGGCGCGCACCGATGCACTGCTTGGCAAGCCATGCTGTGGCAGCGTCCCATATAAAGTGGAGGAAGATGGGCACAGGTGTTAGCCCAGGGCCAATCTTCCTCAGCAAAAAAAAAAGGAGGATGGACAGATGTTAGCATAGAGCTGATCTCCTCACAAAAAAAAAAAAAAAGCAAGTGAAATTGTCTTTATTTGCAGATGATATGATCTTATGTGTAGAAAACGTGTAAAAAGGACTCAACCAAGTAACTGTTAGAACTAATCAACAAACCAGTAAAGTTGCAGAATACAAAAACCGACATACAGAATCAGTTGCATTTCTATACACTAACAGCATAATATCTGAAAAAAAAATAAAACTATCCTCTCCCAATAGCATCAAAAACAATAAAATACTTAGGAATAAATTTAACCAAGGAAATGAAAGATCTGTACAATAAAAACTATACGACTCTGATGAAAGAAATTGAAGAAGACACAAATAAATGGAAGGATACCTCACATTCATGGATCTGAAGACTTAACATCATTAAAATGTCCATGCTGTATTTATCCAAAGAGCTTGAAATCAACAATTCAAAGAGACTAATGCACCCCTATGTTCATTGCAGCATTATTCACAATAGCCAAGTTGGCTAAGCAACCCAAGTGCCCATCGACTGATGAATGGTTAAAGAAGGTGTGGTATACATTTACAATGAATACTACTCAGCCCTAAAAAAATACAAAATTGTCCCACTCACAAGAACATGGATGAAACTTGAGGGTATCATGTTAAGTGAAATAAGCCAGACAGACAAAGACAAACATCGTAGGATTTCACTCATGTGGAGGATAAAAAAGTACATGGACAAAGAAGACAAATTAGTGGTTACCAGAGGGGAAGGGGTTTCGGGGGGTGGGCATAAGGGGTAAAGGGGCACATATGTATGGTGACTGACAAATTATAATGTACAACTGAAATTTCACAATGTTATAAACTATTATGGCACCAATTAAAAAAAATGTCCCTACTACCCAAAGCCATCGATAGACTGAGTGCAATCCCTATCAAAATTCCAATGGCGTTTTCCACAGAAATAGAAAAAACAATCCTAAAATTCGTACATAACCACAAAAGACCCTGAATAGCCAAAGGAATCCTAGGAAGAAAAAGCTAGAGGCATCACAATTCTTCATTTCAAACTATACTACAAAGCTATAGTGATTAAAACAGTAGGGTACTGGCATAAAAATAGACACATAGACCAATGAAACAGAATCAAGAGCCCACAAATAAACCCCTGCATATACACTAAACTAATATTTGACAAGAGAGCCAAGAATACTCAGTGGGGAAAGGATAGTCTCTTCCATAAATGGTGTTGGGTAAACTGGATAACCATATGCAGAAAAATGAAATTGGACCCCTGTCTTACACCACTCACGAAATTTAACTTGAAATGGATTAAAGAATTAAATGTAAGACCTGAAACTTTAAAAATCCTAGAAGAAAACACAGGGAAAAATCTCCTTGACATTGACCTTGGCAATGATTTTTTAGATATGAGACCAAAAGCACAAGCAATAAAAGCAAAAATCAACAAGTGGGACTACGTTGAACTAAAAAGCTTCAGCACAGCAAAAGAAACAATCCACAAAATGAAAAGGCAATCTATGAAATGGGAGAAAATATTTGGAAACTATATATCAGATAAGGGTTTAGTATCCAAATGTATAAAGGGATCATACAACTCAATAATAACAACAACTAAAATGATTAAAAACTGGGCAGAGGAACTGAATAGACATTTTTCCAAAGAAGATCTACAAATGGCCAATGGGTTTATGAAAAGATGCTCAACATCACTAATCAACAGGAAAATGTAAATCAAAACCACAATGAGATATTATCTCATACCTGTTGGAATGGTTATCATCAAAGAGACAAGAGATAACAAGTGTTGATGAGGATATGGAGAAAAGGGAACCCTTGTGCACTATTGGTGGGAATGTAAATTGGTGCAGCCACTGTGGAATACAGTGTGGAGGTTCCTTAAAAATTTAAAAATCAAGCTACCATGTGATCCAGCAATACCACTTCTGGGTATTTATCTGAAGATAACAAAAACGCTAACTGGAAAAGATATATGCGCCCACATGTTCATTGTAGCTTTATTTACAATAGCCAAGATATGGACAACCTAAGTGTCCATCGATGGATGAATGGATAAAGAAAATGTGGTATATGTGTATACAATGGAATATTATTCAGCCATAATAGAAGGAAATCCTGCCATTTGTGATAACATGGATGGACCTTGAGGGTGTTATGCTAAGTAAAAGAAGTCAGAGAGAGAAAGACAAATACTGTATGATATCATTTATATGTGGAATCTAAAAAAGCTACACTTGTAGAAATAGAGAGTAGAGTACTGGTTACCGGAAGATGTGGGGTTGGGGATACAGGGAGATGTTTTTCAAAGTACAACTTCCAGTTAGAAGATGAATAAGTTCCGGGGATCTAATGTATGGCATTGTGATTCTAGTTAACAATACTGTATTATAGCCTTGAAAGTTGCTAAGAGAGTAGATATTAAATGTTCTCACCACAAAAGAGATGTGGTAATTATGTAATGTGATGGAGGTGTTAGCACAGGGTGGTAATCATATTGCAGTACATAAGTGCACCAAATAAACACATGGTACACCTTAAACTTCCACAATGTTATATGTCGCATATATCTCAATACAGCTGAGGGGGATAAAAGGAAAATCAGTGTGCCTGGAGCACAGTGACACAGGGAGAGACAGGAGACGGGATGGAGAGTAAGGCAAAGGATCTGTCACATAGAGCTCTAAGGGCCATAGACAGGAGGTAGAATAAAATACAAAGACAGAGCATAAGCAAAACGTGGTCAATATATACAGTGGAATATTAGTCAGCCTTAAAAAGGGAGGAAATTCTGACACATGCTACAACGTGGATGATCTTGAGGACATTATGTTATGTGAAATAAGCCAGACACAAAAAGACAGATACTGTACGATTCCACTTATATGAGGTACCCAGAGTAGTTAAATTCATAGGAACAGAAACCAGAATGGTGGTTGACAGGGGCTGGGGGAGGTGGAATAAGGAGTTGTTTAACTGCTGCAGAGTTCAGATTTGCAAGATGAAAAGAGTTCTAGAGATCAGCTGCACAATTTGAGTGTATTTAACTCTACTGAATTGTGCACTTAGAAGTGGTTAAGAGGGTAAATTTATGTTACGTGCATTTTATCACAATTAAAAATAAAGAATTCAAAACAAAAGAAACGCTCAGTAGAGTTATGTCAAGCAGAGTGGTGACATGGTGTGATCTACATTACAGAAAGTTCTGTCTATAAAAGTCACTTCATTATTATTAATTGATACATTTCCTCAGGAAATTCAATTTTCTCAATAAGCAATTACTATGGAATATGTGTAATCTATGATTTCTCCTTAATCTCTATGGAGGTTCATTTAGGATACAAAACTGAGACAAGGCCCCCATCCATTGTATTATACAGCATTAAGTGGTCCTAGCAGGAATCTTACAAGTGAGGTTTCTTCTAGTTCATTTCTCCAGAGGACCAAGTGTTGCACTAGAGTCGCTACTAATTGCTGTTACCTGGTTGCTTAGAGTTTTTCAAGTAGCTATGGGTGTGGGAATGCTAAGGAAGTACATTTCACCCCCTTGGGGTTGATCATAAAATTAAGTTTCTACAAAGATTAAAAAAACACACAAAACACTCTGCTGTGAGGATCATGGACCATGGGCCACATCCCATCCCATCACAGAACATGTCCCAGTGCCAGGTGCACACAGCTGTCACACCGATGGACATTACTGCTTGTTGTGCTAGTCAAGTGTTATAGCTGGCTTTGAGTGACAGCTACTACCAGTGAGACAAAAATGACGTCTGACCTTGAGACATTTGTCATCATCCTCAAAAGTTAGACTTGTACTACAAATGTCTGAACATCTCATCACGAGTCTACTGTCAATGAATGTATTTGGATAGTTCTTGAACCTTTTCTCATCCTTTTGGGTCTACTCCTAGTCCTTAAAAGTTACTCTAATGTAGTCTCAGCTTTGCAAGATGAAAAAGTTCTGGAGATCTGTTGCACAAGTATATAGTAGACTATAGTATTATAGTATATTATATAGTATAGTATATTAAGTAAATATACTTAACACTACTGAACTACACACTTAAAAATGGTTAAGATAGTAGATTTTATCTTATGTGTCTTTAACCACAATTACAAATATTTTTTTTAAAAGATACTATAATGTCACTACATGAAGTCCATTAAGGCAGCGATCGAGTAGCAGATTCTGCCTTTGCTTATTTTTCTTTCTAGTCTAAGAGCTTCTTCACTTAACTGTCTTCATTAGAAGACATGGTAGATGTCTTTTCCGACGTCAAAAGAACTGTTTGATGTTTTGTTTACAACCCTAACAATGCACTGTGGGAAGAAGGGCATGAATCCAAGCACAAGAGATCAATTTGTCAGGTCAACCAGACCCTTTGGACATACTGATGGTCTCATAAAGATAGCAGTCCTCCCCAATCCTGCTACCACAGAATTTATCATGCAGCCCTGGGCTTCTTTTGTCCTCAGGATTGACATCTGGGCTGGGATCATGACCTCCTGGAGAAGTGATGGGAGATCTCCAGCCTTCAGCCAGATCTCTCCACACACACACACACACACACACACACACACACACACACACACACAGGGAGAGAAGCAACAATTGGTCAGAGCTCTTTCCTTGCAGATGCAACATGAAGCAACACCTTGAAAGGCCACAGGAGGAGGTGTGAGCCCAGACCAGGGTTAATCTGTCTCCTACTGGATCCACAGCCTGCTCTGTGTTTATGTATCTTTCTTTCCTCCTTTTTCCCTCTCCTCTAAAGGCCTTAGTTTAGAAATGATACATCAAAGAAATGTTCTGTTTATTGAATATAATTTTCTGTTCTGCATCAGATTTGTTCTCTTTAACGGGAAAAATATTTGCTGCTTTATACCTATGTAGCCCACTCCGGCTATATTTCTTTGTGGGTCATTGGCCCTCATGTGGCATAAAGTTCCCCTCGCTGGCACTAAAGGATTTGAAACCTTGGACAAGTACCAAAGAGTCCCGAGTTTCATAGCACACGGGACTAGCTGTAGGGGTGGTTGCTGTCTCAGCTGTTTGCTCCCAGATTTTAGCCCCCGCTGTGGGCCAGAGGCCATGCAGGGTTCAAAGGTGGACAGATCTGATGCTACTAAGATGCAGTGCCACCTGGCTGAATATCAGGACCACTGAGGGAGCTATCAGAAAATGCAGGGTGGGGGATGTGGGTGGGGGGATCTGCCTTTTCCAAAGCTCACAGGACTTGTGCTGGGAACCATTGCAAAGGTACCTGAAGCATGTGGGAGGCAACATCATAACACTATTCTTTTATAATTTACCTTAAAGAACATATTCCTGAAGAATTCTTGCTGACATTATGGAGTTTCCCTGTGGAAAATGGGGAGCCATGAAGAGTTTTTAAGCAGGGAGTCATCTAATTGAGTTCTAGAAAGATCCTTGGGCAGCCATGAGGTAGCTAGATTAGAGATGGGCAATATCCTTAGAAAAGACGGTGTTAGGGAGACTGCAGTGTCCAGGCGAGAGATGATAAAGCTGTGGCACTGGGAATGGGGAAGGGAGGCAGGAAGGGCAGCAGGCATGTTGAGAAAATAGAATCCACAGTGAGGATGCAGGACCGCAAGAAGTTAGATGACTTGGGTGAACTCACTAAGACGAGGTTTACAGGAGGAGAAGTAAGGATGGGGGCACGCACTGAGCATCACAGAGGCCATACTGAGTGTGAGGTGCCCTTGGGACATTGAGGTGGAGGTGACCAGATGGCTTTTGAATATTCAGGTTTGGAGCTTCTACACAGGGTTGGGCCAGAGGTAATGGACCACCCACCTAAACTTCAGAAAGTAATGACTTTCTTCAGTGCTCATAAAGCCACTGACGTCTGCCAGTGGAACAACCACAACCAAGAAGGTCAAGTATGGTGGGCAGAAAAATGGCCCCTAAAGATGCCATGTCCTAATCCCCAAACCTGTGAATATGTCACCTTGTTTGGCAAAAGGAACTCTGCAGTTATGATTAATTTCTGTTAAGACATGATTAAATTCTGTTAAGTATTTTGAGATGGAGAGAGTATCCTGAATCATCTAGGTGGGCCCAATATAATTACATGAATCCTTATAAGCAGAGAATCTTTCCTGGCTGTGCTCAGAGGGAGATGTGACCATGGAAGAAGAGTCAGAGAGATGCAACATTGCTGTCTTTGAAGATGGAGGAAGGAGACCCTGAGCCAAGGAATGTGGGCAGCCTCTGGCTGATGGAAAAAGCAAGGAAATGGATTGTGCCCTGGAACCTCCAGAGAGGAATACAGCCCTGCGAGACCCACGTTAGACTTCTGAACTCCAGATCAGTAGAAGAAGAACTTTGGGTATTTGAAACCACTAAGTTTGTGATCATTTGTTACAGCAGTACTAAGAGACTAATACTTTGATGACAGATTCAGGTGTCCAGCCTGCCCCAAGAGCCACCAACAGCAGCCTTACCTCGGTGATCCCCAGTACCCATATATTCTGCCTGTAGGAGGTGGTGCTGTTCCCGGACCCCCAGGCCCCTGCCAGCAGGCAGACGATACCCTCAATGCCGATGCCACGGTTGATGGCATGCTTCGGAGGGGGTGAGACCCACATCAGCCGGACACAGGTATAATAATCGCCTACTGACTCCACCATCCAGGAGATACCCCAGCCGTGATCCCAAAGATCCCAGCCAGGCTGACAGTGGGGAGGCCCCACTGTCCTGCAAAGGCAATGCAGAGGGAATATTAATCCAGAAGACAACAGGCTCTGAACCCCAAATCATTTCTTTGCTGGAGAGGTCTCTCAAAGGCTTTAAAGACCAGGCAGCATGTCTTCCAACCCCACAACTGTCCAGAGTCTTTGGCTGGGACTCCTGCCCTACCATTCATCCCTGAGGGTGGTCGGATGCCCTGACCTTGATGTCACTGTGCACAAAAAGAGGCATCAACAGGGCCTCTTCCCAGGAAGACCTTGAAGAATTGGTAAGCCATGATGCTTAGTCAGGGAGGCCCTAGCACCACAGTCCACGAGGCCAGGCCAGCCATCCCTGGAACTTGGTTATTTGTACACACTGAGCTAAGAATTGCGGGAAAGGAGACCGGAAGTGGCCTAATGGATGGCCTTGACCTTGTCTCCTCAAAAATGTTCTCATTCAGTCCCAGGCCTCCCTTGTGTGGGATCCACCGAATCCATGAGGAGACCCAAAGTTCTGGCTAGGAGATCAAGACCTCACTGTCCTTGCCCCACTCCCAGGCTCATGGGTTCTAAGCAATGTGGAGGAGAGGATGAGGGATGTAGGCCAGCTGAGAGGTAGGTCTGGGAGTGGGAGCCTTTGGCCTGGCACCCCAAAGGATTCTTAGGACAACCCAAGTGTCTTCTTCTCTTAGGGGTCTGATATGGGCTCCCTAGAGCCTATCCCTCTTTGTCACATTCCTTGGAGGAGATCGCCCCCGCTGGCCCTATTCCACTCTCCCTCCAGTGCCCTGGGCCCCATGGGCAGTCCTGGGAAATGTGTGTCCCAGGCAAGAAGGGGCCCATCTTCTCAATACCTGGGTAAGGGAAGCGAAACCAAGGAGCCTGGCTCAGGACGTTGGCTTTGGTGTCGGTGCAGCCCAGGTACCCAGAGGCTGTGGGGTCCGTGGGGAGGGCGTTGGTGACTGTGAGCACTAAGCAGAGGAGCCATGAGATGCAGAGGGCCAGCAGCACCTGCCAGAAGGAGCCGCCCTTCACCACTGGGTCTCACCCCCAGCCCAGGTCAACAACCTCCTAGAGGGGTGGGGCAAAGGAGGGAGTTCAGGAAAGTTCTTTGGAATGAGGAAGTGTTGGGTTACTCACCCTTCCAGTGACAACAGGAATCTGGTGTGTCAGTGGATAGTTAGCACATTAAAGGAACATAGAAAATAAACTACGGAGAGACCGTGTGTCAAACACAGGCAGAAATGTCTGCTAAGCCGGGCACAGCAGGGTGCAGAAAGATTACCATCCGGCCCCCTTTCCTCTGTTTGTTGGTCACATGACCTTGGATCAAACTCCCTGAACCTCAGGTTCCTCATCTGTACGGTGGAATGACCACCACTGCTCTGCAGAGCCTGAAGCAGGATTTCTTCTAGTGGAATCCTCAGATACATTTATTTTTAATTTCTGGTGGTAGAAACCCAGAAATCTGTATTTTTAACAATGTCCCCAAGTGATCTGATGCATATTGAATTTTAGAACCAGTGGCCTACAGTGTTGTTGAAGGAACAATGAGATCATTGTGTGGAAGGATCATTTTACAATGTGAAATGTAGTTTACTGTTGAATGAAACCTGCAAACATATTTGTGTGGTTGACAGCTACACATACTTGACAGTGTGGTTCAAGAGAGAATTCAACAGGGAAGGCTCTGAAACAGGCAGTGCCATCCTCATCCTGGGGTATTTGGACTACCCATGAGCCACAGAGAAAGAACCTGACCTAGGCAACTTGGCCCTTAGTTTTATATAATTAGCAGTGAACCTGGCTGTGTCCCCAAGTACCTTGCTATGAGGATGGCCCAGGGAACATGAGAGGGTTGTCCCACACTGGTGCCCAGAGCAGCGACCTAGGGCAGGGTTCTCTGCTCCTGGGAGAGAAGCACTGAGGGAAGACATGGGACAGCATTCCACCAATTGTCAGGAAGTGCCCCACAGGCCGCCGGCCTCCTCTCGGCCTCCTTCTCCTTCTCCTTCTCCCGTGGATTAAGGAAGGTCAGGGAGGAGAGGCCATGGCAGATGGGGGACAATTTGCTTTGGGGGCCCTCTGGGAGTGCAAGAGGCTGTGCCTCACTCTCCAGGTGAGACAACTCAGAATGGAAGGGGGTGGGGAGTGCTTCTTACAGGGAAGACCTGAAACAGGGAGAACTTAGAGATGTTCCACTTCCTCTCTCGTCCATAAACAGGCACGGGCACGGCGACATTTTTCAGGTACTGAGAAAACAGCGCAATGAGGAAGATGGTCCTGAAACAGAAACAGACCATACCCAACCTGGTGAGCGGGGGCTCATCCTGAGGGAGGGTCCAGAAAGCTGGGCCACCACATGTCTCTGGGATAGGGGACAGTGGCCAAGGTGGGAGAGTCCCCATCTAGACCCCACTCAGCAGCACAGGCAGCATCCTGCCATTTCTGAAAAGGTGGACTGTTGCCTTTCAGAAGCTACTGGTGGCTGAGGAGGAGGAGTGGGAGGGGAGGCTGTTATTCCTTGGGGGTCAGCAGCTGGATGGATCCAGCAGGTGGAGCCAATGCGGCCAGACTCAGAGAACATGTCACCCAGGTGTTGCTGCAGGTCCTTGTGTTCAGACCACAGCAGGCAGAGTGAACGAGAGTGTCCAGTGTCATGCCCAAGCCCCTTCAAAGCTCTCTTTAAATGCTTCAGACCTCTTTTTCCAGGAAGCCTTCCTGATCCTCCCAGCTGGCTGTCCTCATCCCCTCCCCTGAACATGCATGACATTCTGTGACTCTCATCACTGTCTCCTGGTATCACAGGTACTTGGATCCAAGTCTTGTCTCTCTCCCACACACTACAAGATGCTTGAGAGCTGAGGCCACGTCTTTGCAGCTTCCCCAGGGGCCAGAAGTTTACAAACATTTGCTCAATGAAAACCTATTTGGCAGGGGACTGGTAGTATCAACTTTTTCTGAACACTATACTAAGTATTCTTATACACTGCCTGCGATGAACTCATTGTCTGAGTTCATCACCTCCTAATAAAGGAGGACTCATTGTCCTCCTTTATTACTAATAATAAATAGTAAGAATAATGAATTAGAAGTAGCTATTATCCTGCTTTTTAAGTTATCATAACGTTCATGAAAGTATTTCTAAACCACAAGAGTTTGCCGATATGCAGGACTCTTACTATTCTCACTGGGTAACCTTCCACCAAAGAGAACTTAGATGGTGCTCCCTCCCCAGAGAGTACTTACACGGCAGCAATCCCCCAGTGGCTCCCAGCGTTATTCCCCGCAGAATGGAAGAGAGGCAGGGCCACCAGGGAGATGGTCGGAGCAACGGTCAAGGGGCCAATGCAGCGCATGAGAAAACCGATGAAGCCTGAGAAGCCCACTAGAATCTGGACACAGGAAGCGACCATGATGGCGCCCTGCAACTGAAGAGGAAGAGTGCAGCCCAGGCACCTCAAATCTTGCAGCAGGACTGTGGGCCTCAGCCCAGCCCAGGCCCCGAGAACAGGCCCCGCTGCTGCAGCCCACCTCTAAATCTGGTCACCCCTGGGTGGTGCATTCAGAGGCAGTGCAGAGGCAAAGCTGGACCCAAAGGACTGAAGAAATAAGAGCTCTGATCTGGCTCCTCTCTCCAGTTCTGGATTTCCAACTAGCTGTTGGACATTTTCACTTAATAGGACGTTTTTCAGGGAGTAGCCTTCAACATTGTTGATTGATCAGAGTGATGATGATGACAACTCGTAAAGCAGCGTCACTCAGCTGTGTATTGTATATTTTGCTGCTTTACTTTTCTCTGTTTTCCTACTTTCCCTTGCAGGGGTTGGCCGTTTTTTTTTCTGTAAAGCACCAGATAGTGAACATTTTAGGCTTTGTGGGCCATAGGGGCTCTGTCATACTTTTCAGGACAAGAAGTGAACAAATGAGCCTAGCTGTGTTCCAACAAAACTTCATTTATAGACACTGAAATTTGAATTTCATATTCTTTTGACTTGTCATGAAATATTCTTCATTTGATTTTTTGCAGCCATTTAAAATACAAAACCGTTTTTAGCTTATGGTCTCTACAGAAACAGGCACCTGGCCAGATTTGGCTCCTGGGCTGTGGATTGCCAACCCCTGATCTCTTGGACTGAAGGAGTTTGCTTTACTTCTCCTTTTTTGCTTTACTGGTTTGGATGTTATACCTTGTATTTTATCCCTGAAAACTTTCCTTACTTTGAAGTCTGCTCATTCTGAATGTAAAATAGTGACTCCTGCTCTTTTGCGATTAGTGTTAGCATCGTATATCTTTCTCCATCCCTTTACTTTTAGTCCAACTGTCTTTCTAGTTAAAGTGGGTTTCTTATAGACAACATATAGTTAGGTCTTATTTTTTGATCCACCCTGACAATCTCTGCCTTTTAATTAATGCATTTAGACCATTGATGTTCAAAGTGACCGTTGAAACATTTGGATTAATATCGACCCTATTCGTTACACTTTTCTATCTGTTGCCCTTGTTCTTTGCTCCTGTTTCTATCTTCCACTCTCTTTTTGCCTTTTGTGGTTTTAATTGAGCATTTTATATGATCCTGTTTTCTCTCCTTTCTCACCATAGCAGTTATACTTCTTTGTTTTTTTACTTTTTAGTGGTTGCCCTAGAGTTGGCCATATACATGTAAAGCTAATCCAAGTCCACTTCCAAATAACACTACAACACTTCATGGGTAGTGTGAGTACCTTATAATCAGAAAATAATCCTGATTTCTCCCTCCCATCCCTTGCATCATTGCTGTCATTTCTTTCACTTATATATAAGCACCTATAAGTATATAAATAAAAACTACCATGATACTGGAAGATGAAGTGTAAATTGGTCTAATGTGTTGAAAACTGAACTTACCATCTCTTCTCATGGTTTTCTCCTTTTTCTGCTACCACCATTTCCTTAAAATATAATCACTGTTCACTTTTACCTCTCCTTTATTTCTTATATCGCAGTAATTAATGACATTCCTATTGGTCCTGTATTCACATCACTTTCATCTGTGGCTGGCATTGTGATGTGCAATTGGCCTACCAGCATCAGTGGTTGCAAGCCTTGCGATGTGTATGGACAAATATAACTCAGCAAAAAATGGAGAATTTACCTTAAATTTCAGTAGATTGACTCAGTGAATTTAAGCATTCAAGCAATCAATTAATAAAATGCAGTTGAAACTTATGAGAACTTTTTTCTCTTGTTTACAGCACTGGAGAAAACACTGGACCAGCAGGGGGAGCTAAAAACCACAGATGAGACTCCGGGTTTGGGCTGACTGTGTTGGACACTAGGAGGTGATGTGGGAAAAGTACTAGAGAGGACTGTCTAGACCCGGGCAAGAGGAACGCCTGCCCTGGGCCCTGTCTCAGAGCAGGGCTTGGTAAACGTTTTCTATAAAAGGCCCGAGAGTAAATCTTTCAGATTTTGTGGGCCAAATGTGGTTTCTATCACATATTCTTTTTTTAGACAACCTTTTAAAATGTAAAAATGATTTTTAGTTTGTGGGCATTAAAGATACAGATCAGAGGCTAGATTTGGTCCCAGAGGCTTAGTTTGCTGACTGCTGCTTCAGAGGACTGCATGTATCACAAACACAAAAGTAAACAGTAAATGTATTCAAGGAAAGATGGTGTGTCTGTCCCTGGGGATGCCGTGCTCAATGCAGGCGCAGCACGGCCTGTATCCCTAAACATCCTCACTCACTACTAATACTGTTCAAGCCCCAGGGAAATTCTTTGCCATGACTGTTGCCCAGTGTGCTCAGAACACAAGGTAACTGCTTCTGAATGTGGTGAAGTTTCATGCCATTGCAGAGGTGGAGGCAGACACTTCATTAGAACACAGGGAGGGTTGAGCAGTGTGAGTGCTTAGGTAGGAGAAGAGACAAATCACCGTGTCAGATGTTTCCTCTTGGATAGTACGAAGGAAACAGATTCTTACCTAAGGAATTATAGTTCTCAGGAGGTCTAAGTGAAAGGGAAATCCTGCCCCTGGCATCTAGCAGAGCAGAGTAAGGCAACTCTGCTTCTCATTCTTTGCTTAGGTTTAATTTGGATTTACCAAAGCCAAGTGTAGGCTCCCTGGGGGACAGGAAAAAACAAGCAAAAAGATCCCTCCACAAACCGCACGTGTTCTGCGATTCCTTCTATGATGATGTGGTAACAGTAGGCTGCACTGAAGAAGTACATCCTGATTTGGAAAAGCTGGTGCAACACACAACATTCTGAGATTGGCCAATCAACCTGGCAAAAATCCAAGGCCCACCAGCTTGACAAGTGAAATTCTTAAGCGTATCTTGGTCTGGAACTACATGCAAAAGTTCTTTAATGGTTAAAAAGCCCTGTTAACTCTGGTCCACCCTGAGAGAAGAAGGAAGCACGAGGACCTGATGAGATTATTGAAGTTCACCCACATCTGGGTGCCCTTTTGGACTGTATCTCAGAGCACAGACACCTGTAAATGGCTGTTTTGGAGACGGAAGAACAACAGAAGGTTCTGGCTGAAATTCACAAGTTCTGGCTCAGACTGGTCTACTGTGTCCTTACAAGCACAGTGCTCACCGAGGAATCTGAAGTGTTGGTGGTGGAGTCCATGCTGAATGAGGACTGACCCGGATAGAAGCCAGGTGCTTCTGCTCTGCTGGGGGCTTTTGGTGTGGATGTGGCCTGGAGCAGCTACCCAACACTCTCGCTTTGAAAGACTTTTACTAACTAGTCTGCTATTGGGCACTATTTGGAATTAGCCCACTACTGAATGGCACCAAAAACTCCTAGGTCAGAGATCCCAATCATATCTTGAGTGATGTCAGAAAGACATTCCAATAAGGAAGGGGCTGATCAATAAAATATGCTTATTAAAGGGAAATAGCTATATTTAGGGAAAGAAAGGGCAGCTACACAGGAGGGGTTCATAGGATCCATAAGCAAGTGACAGTCCCCTCTCCCCTGGGGTGTATACTACCTCACAAGATAATCTAACTCTAGCAACACAGACTTGGATCCCACTGTGTGAGTCTTTGAGTTCAGAAAGCACTACTTGGAATCTTGCTAGATGTGCTATTACGCTGGCTGAGAAAGATGGAGACTGGAAGAGTGTAACGTTTCAACAGAAGGACCTTGATGGGAGAAGTAAGGCATGTCTAAATCCAGCCAGTGGACCGAGTTACGTGTGATGTGACTGACTGCACACAGAAATACCTGGAATTATCCCTACATAATTGTACAGATTCATGGGCTGTGGCCAATGGACTAGCAGTGTGGTCTGGCAAGTGGATCATAGAAAACTCTATTGAAATTTCACCTTTTATGGGACAGGCCTTTCTAGTCAAATCTCCAATACTGGTGTTTCATGTTGATGCCCCTAAGTCTTAAAAAGAAGAGGGAAGTATGATTTTGAATGTAGTCACTACGGGCCATGAGATGACACCTTGGGCCACAAGTCATGCACCCACGGACTCACAAACAACATAATCCACATCTCTATCTGCAGTCATTTTTGCTGCCCAGAATGATCCAGATTTCCAACAGCGTGGGGCACAGGGGCCTTTGGTGGGAGAATATGAGAATATATGGCATATCAGAGAGCTGGCAGGCTGCCTATACTGGACATTTCACAGAGCATGGGAGGTTTTAATATCTTTTTAATCTGGTATTGATAGTGTTTCTGGTCTGAGCTTTGCCTGTTCTGCAACTGAAGCCCTGGCCCAGACTACTGTAGAAGACTGGTGACCCAGATTGCCCACCAACATGAATATAAACTTATATATCTAACAGCTTAAATATCACTTTTTACAGCCTGAACAGGACAGGAGTGGACCAAGAAATACAATATCAAGTGATCTTTTCATGTTTCATATCACTTCACAAAAGCAGTGAAATTATTGCAAAATTAGAATGTGCTTGAGGCAACAAAATGTGCGTGACAAAGGCACGAACGGTTGGCTTTCTAGGTTGGGATACTGTGAGATCACGCTAAACATGGGGCACAAAAGGGAGCCACCCATAGAGCGGTTTCTAAAGGACGAGTTGAGAAATGAGAGGGTAAAGAAGCCTTATTTTCCCAGGACTAGGGATTTTTCTTTCATGTTCCCTAGGATGGAAATAACAGAAAAACTTTAATTTGACTTGTTGGAATTCTGATGCTATTAATGGCCCACATTGGAAAGTCTGGTGTTTTCAGGATGCCTCTTAACCAATGGAGAGGATCCAGTGATAATATACTACTTAACTCATTGCAAAGTACCTTGGGGAAGGACACACAGGAGGGTTTAACAGTGTTACTTGGGCCCACTATTTAAAGGATAGCAGAGAGTGACTCACAATCTCCTCCTCCAACAGGAGCAAAGGAATGGACTAAGAAGGGCTCCCAGTGGGCAGAAAGAAAGATGGGGCAGAAAGAAGTGGAGTCACCAGACAAATTACTGTATCGAATCATGCTCCTATGCCCTTTACATTTAAAATAAGTTGGAAACAAGAAAATGATTTCTTAGCAATGTTTGTAGATACATTTTCCTCTGGGATGAGGGATGCTAGCACCAGAGTTGATTCTACCAAACTGAAGCACATCTAATAAAACTGGACCCAGAGTACACTGGGCTGTACTGGATGGACAATGAGGAAAGAACAGTGTGAAAGTAACCAATTCCTACCATGATGCTGGCATATTAAGACATGGTCTTTTGCTTGAACTTTTGTGTAAGATTAAGATGGGTCATGGACTATATATGAAATATGTGAGCATTTCCAAGTAAACCTATTTTACTCCCTATCTATTCCACCCCAGCAGCCCCAAGCCCTGTCAAGTTCATGACCCTGTTTTATTTTCTTCACTGCACTAATAATTCCCTGAAATTTTCCTTTTCTGTTTACTTATTGGAGTATTTGTCTCTCCCACTCCACCCCTCCACATACACAAACTAGAATGTTAGCTCCACGAGGGCTGGTTCCTTGTCTGACTTACCTACAGCAGTATCTTAAAGCCTGAAATCTTGCCCAACAGTGAGTTGAAGAACGAATGTTGAAAAAATGAGTCAACTCGGGAGCCACTGTTGAGTACCCCTCCATTCCTCCCACCCACCTCCTTTGCCCCATTACCTCTCGGATCCTCTTCTTCCATTCCTCGGTGAATTCAGGAGAGCTAGTATTCACCTGGCTGGCATTGAGTGTCGCCTCAGAGCACTTCCAGGCAGGAAGGGAGAGCATGGCCAGGGTGGGCGCCACAAAATGAAATGTCCCTCCCTGGAGAATGGGCAGCCTGGAGGAGGGGAATGGCTACAGTCACCCATAAGATCCTTTAGTACTAGTCTGTCACTGGCACCAGTGGGGGCCTTTTAATCCCAAGTCCTACCTCAGTTTCTAGGCAACAAATGACTCCCCTTGTTCTCAGTTTACAGGGAACTCCTGCCAAGCTCCAAGTCAGACCCATGAACTCTCCTAAACTTTGGACAGGTAGGAGAGGTGGGGAGGGGAAAGGCAAGCAGACCTAAGCCCAGTCCTGGAGATGCAAGCCCAGGACGAGAGAGTCAGATGCTGGGAAAAGATTTGGAGATAGCACAGAGCTCAGCGAACACAGTTAGTGGGTGCATAGTCTATCCCCATCCCACAGAATCTTCCCCGGACCCAGGATCAAAGCACAGCTCCCGCATGTGGAGTTCTCCCATTAACAAGAGATGCACAGCCTAGAGTCTGGGTTGCCTGATTCCTTTGTGTCTTCAAAAATGAACTGCAGTCCCAGACCTCTACCTTCAGGCTCCTTTTTATCACATGGACAGAAGAGGACTGAGGTCATTCTCAGGGCGTGTCCCCCATCCAGGCCCTTTTCACTCCTGATCTGTGTCTCACTCTGGCCTCTGTGAGAACTTCTAGAAGTGCCTCCCTGCCTTGTCTTCCCTTCGAGGTGAACACAGCCTGACAAGTCAACCTCCAACAATCCTCTCTTACTAGAGGATCAGAAGCTATCAAGTCTGCCTGTGCTGGACATTAGAATTTGGAGGAGAAAGGGGTGGAACAGAGGGATCCCAGCCTCTTGATTGCATTTGTCACTATGGCCCTTCCTGGTCAGGTACTTGCTCTTTTTTTTTTTTGATGAGGAATAGTGGCCCTGAGCTAACATCTGTTGCCAGTCTACCTCCATTGTATGTGGGACACCTACACAGCATGGCTTGATGAGCGGTGTGTAGGTCAGCACCCAGGATATGAACCCACGAACCCTGGGCCCTGAAGCAGAGTACCCGAACTTAACCACTGCACTTCTGGGCTGGCCCCCAGGTACTTTTTCTTAACAACACTATCAGGGTATTTTTGAACTCAGGACTCCATGAAGACATCTTAGAGGGTTAATCTTGAGAATGACTGAACACATTTAATACATATGTTTTAACACATATGTATTACAACATAAAGTGTATGAAAGAATTTTACTGCTTAAGTGGCCTTTGTATCCTGGCTGAACACTGGGATCAGCGATGCCTGGGCATCACCCTGAGAGAAGTTAAAGGGCTTGTCTAGGATTGCACCCAGCCATGGGGAGTGCATGTGGGAGGGGGGCATCTTGTGGTAATGAACTCCCTCAGCTTTTGTGTATTGGGAAAGTTTTTATTTCTCCATCATATCTGAAGGATATTTTCACCAGATAGAGTATTCTTGGCTGAAATTTTTTGTCTTTCAGAATTTTGAATATATCATTCCACTCTCTCCTAGCCTGTAAGGTTTCTGCTGAGATATCCATTGAAAGCCTGATAGGGGTTTCTTTGTAGGTTATTTTCTTCTGCCTTGCTGCTCTTAATATTTTTTCTTTGTCATTGTCATTTGCCTGTTTTACTAATATATGCCTTGGAGAAGGTCTTTTTAGATTGATGTAGTTAGGAGTTCTATTAGCTTCACTTACTTGTAATTCCAGCTCCTTCCCCAGGCTTGGGAAGTTCTCAGCTATTATTTCTTTGAAAAAGTTCCCTGTTCCTTTTTCCCTGTGGAATACCTATAATCCTTGTGTTGCATTTCCTAATTGAGTCAGATATTTCTTGGAGAATTTCTTCATTTCTTTTTAGTCTTAGTTCTCTCTCCTCCTCCATCTGAAGTACTTCTATATTTCTGTCCTCTAAATTGCTAATTCTGGCCTCTATAATATCTTCTCTGCTTTTCAAGGACTCCAGATTTTTCTTTATCTCATTCATTGTGTTTTTCATCTCCAACATTTCTGACTGGTTTGTTTCTTATAATTTCTATCTTTTTTGTGCAGAATTCCCTCTGTTCATTAATTTTGTTCCTGATTTAATTGAACTGTCTTTCTGAGTTTTATTGTAACTCATTGAGGTTTTTTTATTATAGCTATTTTGAATTCTCTGTCATTTAGATTGTAAATTTCTGTGCCTTCTGTATTGATTTCTCGATGCTTGTCATTTTCCTTCTGGTCTGGAATGTTAATGTACCTCTTCATACTATTTGATTGGGTGGATTTTTGCTGTTGCATACTCGTAGTATCTGGTTGCATATTCCACCTGTTGCCACCATCGGGGGCAGGAGCTGTGTATTCTGAGCCCAATGTGATCCCTGGCAGCTGTGCCTGTCCTGTGGAAGCCATGCTGACAGGGCCCTTCTGCATTTGCCCACTGGCCACCACTGTTTTACACACGTATGTGCAGGTGCTCTGGTGGGGGTCCCATTCTCTGGCCAACTGGCCAAGCTGGTGCATCTGGTGGTGGAAGGGACACTTTCCTTCACATGCACAATCATGGGGACATTCCTGCTCTGCACTCGCTGTCTGCCCTCCTGGCTGCTGTGCTTGGTGAAGACATTCCCACAATTGCTCAGCCTCCTTGGTGTGGAGATTTCCCATGGGCTGAGAGGCAGCTCTAAGAGCAAAGACATTCCTGCAGAGGGTCACCCCTGCACCCTAGATTGCTGCCATTCTGGAAAAGAGAGGAGACCCCCTTACCTCCTTCCACTGTCTCGCAGGGAGTCCAGCATCTCTACCTTCAGACGTTTGGCTGTGTGGATCTCTCAGACATCTATTGTGTTGTGTGGATGTCCTCTGTTGGTTTATGAGTGTCCTTTTCATTGTATCTTGGGAGAGTCCAAGGGAAGAGCTCATTCCGCCATGATGTTGACCTATCTGGTTATCTCTTTATTTTTTTCCTTAATTGTTTTTAGAGTCTCCACATCCTTGAAGATGAGAGGAAGGAATCATATTATCAGCAAAGAATTTCATTAGCCTTCTGGCAGGTAACACAGTTTTTATATTTCATTCAGGGAATTTTCCACGGAAGCTGTGCAGGTAAATGATCCGTTTTTGGTTTATACTCGTTTAAGTATTGGCCACTTCCAATTTCAAGGGTCCTTTTGTTTTTTTGTCTTCATGCTTGTGACCTCATAGTTACAAAATGACTACTGTAGCTTCTGGCAGCACATTCACAATTCAGGAATAGTGAAAGGTGGTAGCCATAAGGTCTGCTTTCCAATATGCTTCAGCAGGCTTTCATTTACACATGATTAGGGAGGCTAAGAAGTCACAACATCTGCAGTCAGCAAGCTTGAGACTAGGGTGAGTCAATGGTGTAAGTCCAGTCCAAGCCCAAAGGCCTGAGAATCAGAAGAGTCAGTGGTATAAACTCTGCTCCAAAAGCCAGAAGGCTTCAGACCTAAGAGGAGCCATGTTTCAATTCAAATCTGAAGACAGGAAAAGACCAAGTCCCAGCTCTGCAGTCAAGCAGGAGGAGTTCCACCTGACCCATCATTTTTTTTTTTTTTTGACCATTTTTGGAAAGCTGTTTTCTCAAAAAACTTGGAAGCAAATGTTCAGGGCTGTTCATTTAGGAAACATTAAGTATTTCTTGAGGTTCAGGTTCAGGAACTGTTCACTATATACAAAGAGGATTAAATCAAGGCCTCTTTCCTGGAGGAACTTACAGTCTGGTGGAAAAAACTAACAGATAAACAGGTGATTGTAATACACTGTGGTAATTGCAAAAATAGCCAGGATGCCTGCCGTCCAAGCACTCAAGTCTAGTTATTCTCATTCTTTGCTTCTGTAAATCCTAAAATTATGTCACATACTCTTAGGGCTTCTGTTATGTTCACAATAGCCAACCAGTTCTTTTTTGGTCAAAAGTCCAGAATAAAAGTTTCCCTCTTTGTTTCCACCTCAGAAAAGAGAGATGGTCAGGAAGTGAATTTTATCAGGTTTATTTTCTTCTAGCAGATTTAGACCTCAGAGATGTTAGGATGGTAGACCCGCTCCATATCTCTGCAGTTTTCGAATTTGTGTTGGTGAAATCATATTCCTGTGATCTCTGTATCCTCTTCTGGGTGATAAGCTCCCTTAATTGTCCTTGAATCTCCTCACAGGCTTTGTTCACAATCTGTGCTCAGTTTTGTGCTCACTTAAATGCTTTCCTCCCTATTTCTGATTTTATAGATTTCTGATATTGGATTTTTGTCCCCGCATGTCATTTAGCTCTGTGCTTTTATCTTCTGGTTCAGGTTCCATCTAATCCAGTCTGTAATGCTTCTAAGAATGTACTTATCTTTTGCATTAAATTTTGTTTGCTTTTTCCTCATTCTATAGATAGCTTTATATGTAGTCATTTTTCCATTAAGAATTTTTCCCTGTTGTTGTTGTTTTTAATAGATTCTGTTTCCTTAGATCCTTCATAAAGCAAACATCTAGATGTTTTCCTGGTTCTCATTGGATGATCTGATTCTCTCCCAAAACAGACTTGTAGATCCTTATAGGAACATTTTAGAAGAGAAAAGTACACATTGTGCAAAACATATCAACTTATGTTTTTAAGTGTTCCTACTTTATTTTATGATTAGCTGCTTCTGCTCCTCTCTATTCTGTATGGAACATACTTTCCCTCTTCCACATCAACTTCTCTTCCTCTGAGCTTGTGTAGTCACTGTTTATTCTGCACACAGAATGGCAGAATTGTTCATTTTCTTCTTTATTCTCCACAGGGTTTTGTTCATACCAGAATAGCATTTATTATCACATAGTGTAGTTATTTATGTCTGTGCCCCCCCTCTCCTGGCCCATGAGTTCTGCCAGGACAAGGACTGGTTGGTGGTGTGCTTGGTGGTGAGAACAAACACTTGGGAGTCAGACTGGGTTTGATTACTGACTTCAGCACTTTTTCCTGAATAACCTTGGGCAAATTCTTTAAACCACCAGAGCCTACTCAGTGTCCTCATTTGTAAAAGGAAGCTACTACTTAGCTCAT